TGAACTTCTGACATTTTGTTGACTTTATAAATCTGTGTAAACATGAATATATATACAATCGAAAAGACATCAGCCTAAAAACTGTATAAAAGCAACACAATATACTACTTCAGTCCTGTGTTAGAGGTGAGTTACATCGTAAAAGACAGAAGAATGATGGGAGAACTAAAGACCTGACATCCTAACATGGACTTTTGTTTCAATGATTTTTTTCATCGTGAAATCTATATCAGAGTATAGATATCTACATCATCTTTTCTTTCGTTCTCTCTCCCACTTTCCCTCTTGTCAAGTTGATGTAGTGCCAGGAACAAGAGGGTGTATTTGGTTTGAAGAGGGCTGTCAAATCAAACTGTCAGGCTGCACTTTTTGATGGAGTCGTATCGCTCGCTCATCTGTCAGTCAAAGAGAAGGACTGCTGCCAAAGTCAAATTCGAGAGTTGAGAGGAGCGGACTTACATGACATTTCATTGTCTGGGGGAAGCCAAGAAGTCTGACGAGTCTGATTTGAAATTTGTAGGGCATGTTTGCTAAGTAATAAAGAGTTGCGGCGAGAAACAAGACTGTGGGTCATTTCAATCCTAACAAGTTCTCTGAATGCTGTGTGGAGAAGGATAACAGACTCGTAAAGTTTCCAGTAATGCGTGTGATAAAAACAGAATATTGCCTCATCACACACACACAAAGAAGGCCCACACATTTCAGAGCACATTAATCATCCTGGCATGTGACATCATAAAACACTTCTCCACGCAGACAGAGTGGACTGGAGTTGGGCCGGCCTATAAAACTCAATCATCACAACAGTGTCACACATTGTTCTGTCGTACCAGAAAAAACCCCCGACCCGAGGAGCGTGTGTCCCTGCTGGATTGTTATGATGTTTACTCACCAAGAGGCTCACCCCCCCCCCCCGAGGCGAGCTCCACACCTCAGCAGCCAGGCTGGAAGCATCTCAGCCCCCCCTCTGGAGGTTATCTGTGCCCTCCCCCCTGCTGTGAGCGACCGGGAGCATCACCTGGGAACAGAGAGAGCCTCACATTGTAAACTATCTATCAGGTAGAACATGTACAACACAGAAACAACATTTAGAAACATAGAAATCCATGCGGTCTATGAGGATGAATAACACTTTCTGCATACTGTCTCAGTTCACAGGCACGGGATTTGTTGAAATTGTCTTTAAAAGCCACACGTTCTCTATCCTTGATGAGAGATATAAGTGTCCTTGTTATTGTTCAGTAAGCATCACTCTATGAAAGAAGGATTATATCCCCCTCTAGTGGAAACATTTCATACATATCTGCACTCTCATCATCCCGTACAAGATGGGGGAAAGGGGAAAGTATGAGCTACTTATTCCAAAGAGTTGGTTGATTTTCTGCAACTATGCCTTACATACACTGCCAGACTGAAACCACAATACTTTTGTTCTTAAACAGATAACGTTTGGATTATATTAAATTTGTACAAAGACTAATTTGAGTAAGAGTAAAAGGCTGAAAGGAAAGTGCCTGTCCTTCTGCTCTTACATTAATTATTATGTGAAGTTTAGGAGTTTGTATTTAGGTGGAATGACAAATTTGGTCCTGACACATGGCTTTTCAAATGTTTTTTTAAGGAACATTTATCTTGATGGGTTTGTCATGTTTTTACCACCTTAAGAACATTTTTCTTAACACTAATACACAGAGTCATTTTTTGTCCTGAAGACACATATCTGATGCTTCTTAATTTCTTAATTTTGGGCTTAATGTCTGCAGCTGTGTCTCCTGAGTGGGCTCAAAGTTGGCACTTTCCTAAGCTTCGGGAGTTTCACTTCAGTTCCTTTGTTTTCTTGGCCTGAAATTAATTTAAAATAAATCTATAATGATCAAATTTTTAAAAAATGATGTACAATTTTAAGAGTTAAATCTGACTCTATCTGACCACTGATCTTACCCTAGCAGATTAAGGGACTTGATATTTAAAAGATATTTTAATGTTAAATTAATGAATAAAAATTAATTGCAATTAGTAAAGTGATGTGAACATAAATAAATAAAGGCCCAACCGATATGAGAATTTTGGGCCGATATCGATATTAGAGAAAGAGATAGATTGGCCAATATCTTTGTTAGATCTATTTTCAGTCTGTAGAGATAGATATCGATATACACATTTATTCTGTTAACCCCTCAAATGCAGTTATCAAACACTTGCAGAAAAGATATACATAATTAAGATGCAATGGTCACTCAACTGTAAAGTAACTGCTCATGTTTGTGCATCACCGCTTGACACACTCAGTGGAGCGTGATAATGCTTGTTATAACCCAGATAGCACCCTCTGCTGGTGAAAGCCAGAAAAGGAAATGCTAGTGTTATAAGAAGATACTCAGATTAAATGTTATTTGACTGATGAATAAATATAGAAATATCTGCACATACAGTATATGGGATAAAATTAGCCGATACTGACAGTCACTTGATATGATAATATCAGCCGATATTATAAATGGCAGATTACTGAATAAAGCTTCATAGTAACAATATGTCAATATATGGTATGTATGCCTATATGAATGCTAATAATAGATGGAAGAAGTTTTTACACCAAAAAGGGTGTACGATTTATTTTTTTAAGTGCCTATGTATATTGGTTGATATTTCCTTTCTTACTGTCAGTGAGAGCTCTGAAACCTGCACTGTAAGTCAATCTGACTCTCACCCCCTGGCCCATTTGATCACATTTAAGACAACCGTCATCACATCACCAATGTCTGAGGGGAGCAAATAGGGGAGGTAGCATGAAAGTGTTCAAACAAAGCACATTTGTCTGAAGACTGGCCCCCCTTTTGGATATAATAAACACAGCTTCAGTGAACTCAAACAGACAGTAACAGTTCCCGGGTCACACTCATAGAGCGTTTAAACAAACACATGATTTCTCTTGGGGCTGCTGCTTTTTCTCTTTCCACACTGATACTGGGTTCAAACTGGTACGTGATTAGTGTTGATTTTATTATGACAGAAATAGTATTTTATTAAAGGGAAGCTGTATAATCCACATTTAAAAAAAAAAAAACAGAATGACTGAAACAAACGCTTACAAACGGCACTAAATGTTGATTATTAGCCCATAAAGTTGAAGGCATTCCTAAATTACAGTCAAGTTATTTAAAGTGACAGAGTCAAACTTTATTGCTTTGACAACACTGCCCCTCTCTGTCTGAACACCTGTATTACATCCCTTCGTCACCTTTTTATCATTATTGAACTTCATTATTCCAATAGTCCAGTCTGATAAAGTGATGTGTATTATATTGGGTTGTAAAAGAGTTTTTTCATCATATGTTGCCAACTTAAAGTTTACTGTGAGCAGAGTGCACACAAACCATTTCAATAATGAAGTTATTGTTTGTTTTGTAAAGCTTCAAGACACGCCATGACAGCACCGCCCGTCTTTGTATGATCCCCTGTTCAACTGGTATTCATCCTCAGGAGATGATAATAGATTGGATTGATAGATAGATGTTTTATTTATTTATCTTATCTCATCTATTCTGTTCATGTGTATGACCTTACTTGTCTGTGCTGCTGCAACGCAATAAATCAATAAAGTACTATCCTATCCTATCCTATGAATGGATTTAATTTATACTCAATACACAAATATCTATGTTATCATCACATTCTTTCCTTTTATGATCTTTTATCTATCGCTGTTATTCATGATGTGATATATAAGAATTATTATTATTAAGTCTCAAGTCATTATTAACTGTTTACCCTCAAAGTGTATCCTCTCTAAGAAGAAAGTGTAAATAAATAAAAACTGTTGGAATCCTTAAGACAAAGAACAAGTGTTTATATCTGGAGCTAAAACAAATTCTTTACACTATAATTATAGAGAATGTTTTGAATTTGTTTCTTTGAATGCTACTTGGCAAATGATTTTTTTCTCTACATCTTAATTATCAACTTTAATTCTACTTTCAAATCACACCAGAGGATTTAGCTACATTCTTTTTATAGTGTTTTTTTTTTTCCTAGTTGGTGGCGAGAATTATTTCATAGCGACTGAGGGAACACGATACACTGGAACAAATCTTTAACTACAGTGGTTCAATCTGAACATTAATCTGACAGCTCCCACGCAGATTAACACTACAGAACAGTGCTACTTACATATTAATGAATATGTAATAAAATAATCCATTGACGATTACACATAAATGAAAAATCTGAAAGGGATTATATCGAATGAAAGGTTGTTGTTTTTTTTTTTTTACAGATTATAATTTGCTTCTGTTATTTCAGAACTATCAATAACTATACATTTGAATGTAGGACTTGAAATTGTAACCCAACATATTCACAGCGTGGCACACACTTTGCTGAAGCAGATAATGTGGGATATAATTCTCCATTCTGTTAATAAACTAAGTGTACCTCCTGACATATTCCCATGAAAAAAAAAGGGGGGAGTTTCACTTGCACGCATGCAGTGAGTCGCAACAATGGGCGTCTGATGTTCAGCCCAATCATGAGACCAACTGCGGGTCATATGACTGCGATTATATCTACATGAGCGACCGAATTTTTAAGGTTCGTTGCACAGGGAAAGGGGATCGCTCACCAAGACCTAACAGACCATAGACGCAACTTTGTGGTGAGTGTTTCTTCTATGCATTCGTTTGCGTCTGAATGTGGATTTAAAATGACATGTCAAAAGTGCCTATAACATGTTACATTATGAGGAATTTGTCAAATCCAGTGCGCTTACGCCTTTTGGGGACATTTCTTCTACGTGTGGTATGCCTTGGTTAGATTCGCTAGAATGTTTGTTTATTATATCCTCGTTTGATGTCTGCAAAACACAACCAAGTGTCACACGAATGTAGAAGGGAGACTTTTAAACGCATAGTGCACCAACATATATGCAACAGAAGCCTCCTATGCGACACTTGTGGAGCGGCGCCTCTACTCGCAGTATTACGGTTACGGGGCTCGGCCAAGGCGGAAGGGGCTTGAACTGTGGACAGTTAAATCGTGTGGTAATATTGCTACAGCCACCAGTATGTCTTTTCGTGCTGTTTCCAAAGAGGCCCTGGTTGGTTCCTTCACACTGGGAGTTGTATTTGTCGCCGGTTATTTTTTCGGTAAGGTGCAAACGCCTAAAGACTAGACTTTAAAAGCTTTATGACGTCGCTACTACAACCAAGGTAACCTGTCTGCTTTAAGCTGTGCGAGATTACTCATGACAGCTGTGACCACTAGAGGGCAGTGTGTGAGAACAAGCCTTTGTTCTCTTGTTTTGTCTCAATATCGTGGCATTTTCTGTACAATTCTTTGGAAGTCAAATAAGTTCCCCAAAGTGGCTAGTCATGGAAAAGTAAAGAAGTGACAAATAAATAGAATTTTCAAAAATAGGAAAAAAAATTATGCAAACATACAATTCAAATGCTTAGTATTTGGCACCCTGTTTTCAGGTTACACATAGCTTTTCAGGGTGTAACTCTCCCCTTATTGTTATATCTTGTTATGGAAGGTTTTTTTGTAAGAGTAATAAACTTACACTTGGAGGTGAAGTTGTTAGAGGCCATTATGTGGACTTTGAACAGGGATTCATCTTTTTAAGATAAGTAGAATTTCTAGTGGATTTTTTTATTTATTTTCAATTAAATGAGTATAGTTACATATATATACTACCGTAATTGTGGTGTGCTTTATGCTGTCAAATAAGAGGTAACTGTGAATTAAATTTGAATTGTTGCACCAAGATTGTTGAATGACTGTTATGGATTGAGATTAATGAAATCCAACCAAAAATGCAATGGGTGTGCTAATATAAGGCTTACATGACATAAATTACGTGTAGCATGCGTTTGCAAATAAAAAGTGGAAAATTGAAGACTTGTACAATATTTTGTCAAACCTGTTTGCATTTCACCTTTTATACAGAATAGTCAAAGTCATTTCACTGCCTGGAGTTTACACAGCTGCTTGGATTTATACTAAGTAAATAACCGTCCAGTACAAAGTGCACTTAAGGTAGTTTGCACACTTTCGATTCAGGTTTCCGTTGACCCTCCTAGTCAGGTAGTAAATACAAATCTGCTAAGCCTTTAAACAAAAGTATATAGAGTATATCAGCAATATGCATCCTGATAAATATTAGACAATAACAATATTTACAGATAAGAAACATAGAGAGAAAGATGCCACAAGATTCTAAGTCTAAACTGATTCATTGTGTTGCCCTCGGGTTATCAGGCTATGCTTTGGTGTCTTACAGTTTCCAGTATTCATTTCTTTATCTGGATCGGTTGCAGATAGTGCAATAACTGGATTTTACCCACTGAGCTCACTTGTATTTTATCTACTCTAAATCAAATAAAGCTACTGTACAATAACTGGAACAGATGCCAGTTATCTGAAAGACGTATAGCATGGATTGCTGGTCCTGTCATACCATCATACTCTTGAGATCTTTATAATTATTTCATGGTTCATGTTGGCCCTCAGGAAAAAAGAAATCTCCCAGAATGATCTCCAAAAGCCACCTTGGGGGCAAAACTGACCCCCTGATGCAATATGTCCTCAATCACTCCATGAGGGAGCATCCGGTTCTGACAAAGCTGAGGCTGGTAAGGATGTTTTCTGAAATACTTTTGTGCTCTGGAAGCGCCTGATGTCTTTTGATGTAATTACGTTTTATGGTGTGATTGGTGAAACAAACGTGAGTGGTTTCTGCTCATTGCTTTCAGAAAACAATGGAAGACCCCATGAACATTATGATGGTTGCGTGTGAGCAGTCGCAGCTCATGGCCAATCTGGCAAAACTGATTCAAACCAAGAAAGCGCTGGAGATTGGTGAGGGCTCCTGACTTTACATTACATCTCAGTGTTTCCCCACACATAGACTGTACCTGGTGGGAATGAATGTAAATAAGATTATGGTGTGTTTTCTATTATTTGAAATATTTTCAACGCATGACGCCGCACACACACACACTCACGCAAACAAGAAACAAGGTTGGTAGAACTCAACCCCTTACTAAAGCCAATCCACACAATCCAACCTGTGAAAATGTCAACAACCACATCTAACCCGCAAAGCGCCAACTTGATTATAATCACCATTTTCCAGACTGAGTGGTGCGGAGCTGTTCAAGGTGCTGATCCTGCTGCCAGGAGCAGCTTTGGGTGCTGTCCAAAGCGCCCCGAGATCAAGGCTGAATTAAGAGACATAATTGCTCCAAAGTTGTTTATTCACAGTGATTAAATATCACTGGCTGTGCAGTCAAACAAGAGGTCCAACTAACCAACTGCTGTACGCAAAGTCTGCTCAACCTGGCAACTATAGTAAACAAGAATGAAACTATCATTCCCCTGATGATTAATGTTTGCATACCCAGTTGTCTCTTTTTAATAAAACGTTTTTATGATTATTTACATTTAATGAACTGAAGAGTAATATTGCCTTGCCAGTAGCTCTTTATAAACTTAAATGACACAAGTGTTACTTGCAGCCGCACTTGATTGTTTCGGTGGAGAAGCTGGTCAGTTGTTCTGGCTCTCGACTTAACATGGTGAACACGGATCAGAGAAAACAGTGGAACAAAAACTATTACACACGCACTTAAACACACACATACAATAGCGCAGTGGCCAACAGCCTCCAATATGTTAGTTTTATACCCTTGATCAGAGCAGTCCTTATTAATATTGAATGCATTTGCCTTTAGAATTAAAAAAAAAACAAAAAACACAACACATAACTTGTAAAGTGAGTAAAATTAGTTGCAAGAAAAGGATGTAATGCTGCCTGTAATTAAACCTGCACACATATAAAGAGCTGATTGGAAATCTGGTACATTTATATGTGGCCAAGAACCTCTGTATGCAAAATCTTCCTCAACTACAAATAACAGAAAGACGACAAGGCCTGTTCAGAAAAACTGAATCTCCTCCTTAGTAGCACTGTAAGCTTCCATGATTGTTTCGTTTACCTTGTCACACGTTGCTGATTTTAAAGCCTCTCTTCACAGGAGTCTACACAGGATACAATACACTGAACATTGCACTGGCTCTGCCTGACGATGGCGTTTTGGTGGCATGTGATATCAGTGAAACCTACACCAACATTGGCAAACCCTTCTGGAAAGAGGTACCAATTGCATTTATGTTCTCTTAATTCATTTGTCTGAAATATTATGGGGTTCATGACATGTTTTATTGTTCCCATACTATGAAGTGCTGATCTGAGCAAAGGATTTTCATACTCTAGGTAATGTAAACTGCAGTTTTGTATAATGCAACGGTGTGCTTCTGCATGCGGAGCAGACTTCATGTCTGTTGGTTTTTTGTGACATAAAAGATTGCTGCTGCACCACTCTGCAGCTAATTAACACATTTTTCTAATTATCCAGTTAGAAAAGATATGTTGATCAAAAAATTGATCAACAGAAACTTTAAACTAATAATTGAATTTTTTTATCAAACAAAAAAGACAAACGTTTGTTGCTTCTAGCCTCTCACATGTTGAGATTTGCTGCTTTTATCTGTAATGAGTTTAATATATTTGAGCTGTTAATCAGACAAAACGAGCAGTCCGCAGAAAATCGCTCACTTCTAATTCATTTTGTTTTGCAGTTTTACTATTTTGTCACGTAAACTAAAAGACTATAGAAAATCAACAGACCATGAAGTAATACATTTGAATACCCTTGGGAGCTGGATTATGCACAAGTCATTTTCAGTGTCAACAAAAAAAGCATTATTGCAAAATGTATCATCTGCAGTGTTTCCCCTACCATTATATTAGGGGGGCAGCCCGCCCCCCCCTTGAAGGTCAAGTTAATTTAAAAAAAAATGTATATACATGTTTATTTATTTTTAGATTTATTTTTGGGCTTTTTGTGCCTTTATTGTAGAGATATGATAGTGGATAGAATCAGATATCAGGGAAAGAAGTCGTTTAAGGATACCTGTCCGATAGAACAGTACAGCTGTCATTAAAAGTAACGCATGAACACCAAGATTCCTTCAAGTGTTTGTGTCGGCATCCGTCTCCCCGCACAAAAACAAAAAAGCTGTACACCTAGGGGAAACACTGATCTTGATTATTTTCTTTATTAACACCAACTTCATTTAAAGCACATGGTATTTAAAAGAACACCTTGACCAGATATCATGGAGTTTTACCAAAATAACACCAAAAATAAATGATACTACTTACAACTGGTGGGTAAGGTTTACATTTTAGGTTTATCTCTGTCTTAATACATTCTTGCAATAATAAGAATTGGAATATGGACTATACATGTCAGTCATTAATCTACAATTGTATCCAGGATAATATGGTGAAATGAATGTAATCCTCAAAAGGCCATGTTTCAACAGCAACATGTAATGTTTTTTTGTTTTTGTTTTACATGCAAATCCATTTACTGAAGTACCCCATTCATGATGTACTGCCACACATCATCTATCATGGGAACATTAATCTGCTGTACTTTTGATATTGAAAATGTTTGTGTCTTTTTTTTGTACAGGCTGAAGTCGATAAAAAAATTGATCTACGCATCCAGCCGGCACTGAAAACACTGGGTACAGTTCTACATCTCTTTCTGAACGTACTGTTGGGCATTAATCAGATGTTACATTTCCTCATGCAACAATCACAAAAATCCTTTCCAGGGGGCTCCAAGTCTAAGGAATATTTTATCCAAAAGCCATGAACGTAATAGTCTCTCTGTGGCTGATACTCAAACATAACATTGCTTGAACTCTGTTGTCTATAACAAGTCTAAGCCCCATTGTTGTGTCCGACTCCTAACTACCTTTAGTCTAAATAAACTGCAGCTGGGGTTAGTTACAACGACTTTTTCATTCCGTTTATCTTAGCCTAGTCATGTCTTCACCTTTGGTTTACCATATCCACTATACATGTGTGCAATACCCTGTATATGATTAGCTTCACTCCATTTCATCGTTCCAGGACTTGTATTCAGTTGTACAGTTGAATCTACTTAATGGGTAACGAAACCCCATATTTTTAGCTGTACTGCTGAATGCATCAACTTCGAGAGGGAGGGGGGCAGGGGGGTAAGACACGCCCACTCACTGCTTTGCACCGTTATCAGCCGCAACATCATACAATGTTTGCCCCACACACACAAATACACACACACACACTTGAGTCCCCACAGTTCGCCAAGTCGAGCGAGGTGACGAGGCTTTTATAGGTTTGATGACGTAGTAATTCACTCCTACGTCACACTGTACTCCACACAGACGTTAAAACTTTTCAAACGGAAGGGCACATTTCTAACACATATTTCAAATGTCAACACTTTGTACTCAAATGTCGAGATTGGGACTTGGATTGATCCGTAACACTACTTAATACTCAAATACAGAGGTTTATAGTTGAAAAAAAAGTGGTTTTAGGGTTTAGTTACTCTTTAATACTGTAAACATTGTTACCTGGATTCCAGTTGTCCCGCCAGAGAAAACCATCCGTTTACAAACTTTTCCCACTTGAATCAACCGCTAAGACGTTTTTTGACGTAATTTGACGTTACGTGCGTGAATCACCTAAGAGGTCATCCGGTCACATGTACTGCGTGGGCTATTTCATTTACAACGCAACACTAATGTCCTCCCATTTACAACCATGAATTCTACTTGTACAATTCTGAATATGTTTTCATACTATTATTATTATTATTATTATCAAATTAATTATTTCCTCACATTTTATCTGCAAATATTTGAATGTCTTTCAGTTTTAAAGTTTAATTCTAAAATGTACAAAACAAAAAAAAAAAAATAATGAGCAAGACATTATTATCTTGAATACGAAAATGTGATTTACATAGTTAGCCAGCTGTAAAATCCTCTTGCTTTCTTTGTTTATTGGAGTTAACATCACCTCTCTGTTTTTCCCTTTCAGACGAGCTCTTGACTGCTGGCCAGGCTGAAACATTTGACTTTGTCTTCATTGACGCAGATAAAGTTAACTATGACAACTACTTTGAAAGGTCTTTGCAACTCCTGAGGAAAGGGGGCATCATTGCTATTGACAATGTAAGGGCTTCACTCTAAACAAGTATTTGAAGTTTCCGCCCTTGCTGAATATCTTACACACTTGTTAACGTTTTCCTTCTGCTCCTGCAGGTGCTGTGGAGTGGGAAGGTGATAAATCCATCCCCGGATGATGCAGACACTGTGGCCATTGACAAACTGAACAAGAAGTTGCACAAAGATACTCGAATCAGCCTGAGCATGCTCACAGTGGGAGACGGTGTCACGCTGGCTATCAAGCTATAGGTCACCTATCCAATAAGAGCCATCATTTTAAGGGGAAATTGTAGAGTTCCATTTTTGTTTTTGTAATTCTATTGCCAGTTTTACTACAAAATCTGTAATACCTCAATTAAAATCCATTTTACACCTACAAATGCCACTTTTGAAAAAATTAAATAAAATGATTTTTATTATAAAGTAGAAAAACTGAATATACCCTTTGATTTTGTAGTGCATCATTTTATTTCTTAAGATATATCATCTTCAAATAACAGGAGAGGATGTTGGTGGATTTAAGGACTTTATTGCAAAGGGTAAGACATACACCAACACAGAAACTGCTTCTAGATTAGTGTCACAGTCTTCCAAAATGGGTGGAAAAGGTGGATGATTCACTCAAGACATTCTGTCACTCAAGTCACTTGGAGGAAAGGAGGAATCACTTAGAAGCAGGTATTTAGGTAGCAGAGATCTCAAAGTCATCACACGGGATAATTAAGAGTCTACAGAATGATAGGTGAACCAATCAATACATTGGCTTCCATCTTGATATACATATTCTGTAACTACCAAATATAAATAAAATGTGCAAATAAAAGGATAAAGCGCTTAAATAAGTGTATATTCTACTGTGCAAAATAACAGCTCAGTTTTACATTCTACGTTATCACACTTCAGCAAATTAACAAGCCTTTGTTTTTGGAAACCATTCCCAGACAAAATGCAACCAGAGGAGGGTTTTTCTATCACTTAGGAGGATAATTGGCAGAGGGAGTAACTCATTTATAAACATACGATTGAAACATTATTCGATTTTTATTACCATGACCACAGGAGGCTGGTGGAAAGGTTTACATCCTAGTAGTGCTCAGGGGCTGGGATTATTATTTTTGTTTTGGCCTTCACCTTTAAAATATTCATTGCTGACCCAATGTGAGAGCTCATGGTGAGAATCTTCAGAAAGTCCTCTTCTACGAATGCAATGGCCGAGTACATCCTCATGCCTCCAACTCCAGGCCCAGACCAAGTTTGTGACCACCAGCATTGATGTTCTTCCCGTCCACGAGTGCAGAGAGGACTAGTTTCATACCTGAAATACAAAAAAAACATCATGATTACTGTTTTATTGACTGGTAGAGAGGTCTGTTGTGTTTGTGGGTGTTGTAAATGAGTCTAGAATTGGTTCTTACCAGGTCGCAGAGTCTGGGTGTATCCAATTCCTACCAAGCTTGCGTTATTCACCTTAGCCTGGGGAAAAACAGTCAAATCAAATTATTATAACAATTACAAAGAGATTGCACAAATTCATGATGCAGTAAATTGGGATCAAGGCAGTGCTCTCCATTGATAAAGAACCATTACTACAAGGTCATGTATTAAAAATATATATAAATGTTAGGTTTAGTTCTGTTTTTAATAACGTAGTGTCATGTTTTATTACTGAAATTTAACAGCTGCAAAGTATCCATAGCTGATAAAAAAACATTTAGTCAGCGTTCTTCCTCATGCTCTGGAGAGTGTTTACATCATCCGGTGTTTCCTGTGCTTTCTTTAAAGACAGCTGATAAAACTGAAACCCAATGTTACCACAAATAAAATACCACTTATCAGAGTTTGAAAACTGTGAGAAACATTTGGATTAATTTAAGTACCCTGGCTAAAAAAGCATATAACATGGGCCTCGTCGTTTTTCTGTATTTAAATGCTACATGTCAAACATTCAAGTAGTCAAAATGTTTAAATATGTATCATCAAAGCAGTTTACAAAATCCTCACAAACACCATTCACTTGTGCACTTGGCCCTTATTCTTCATTACATTTCAACTTGTCGACACATTTTGAGATTGCTTTCTTGGGAGAGGATTAAAAGAGGCACTTACTGATATGGAGGCACTGGAGTCCAGCTGGTATTTAGCAGCAATTCCAAAGCGAGTGCCATTGTTTCCTGCTGTCCAGGCGAGATTGACAGCAGTCTCCAGGTTGTCGTTTACCTTCTGGTAAATAGATCCACCGAACTCCGCACCATCATTTCTGAGAATAAAAAAATAAAGGAAAATGAGCAACATATCTTGAATTTCCATATTCTTCAGTTTCAAGTGATAAAAAATATCACAACACCAATACATCAGTAACTTTTTTTGTAAACTCCAGTTTTGCTATTCGTCTTGTTTGGTTCAAATACTGATATATCCTAAAAAAAAGAAGAAACATACACATTGGTGTGAAGCTGGAAGTCCCCAGTCTTGTAGCCAACTGCAAAGTTGCTCTGTGTCATCTTGGATTTGGCTGAGTCAAAGGTCATCTGGTAGCCAGCCAGCCAGCCCTCATAACCAGCCACTCCTGCTCCATGGATAGTGGGACCAGCGAAATCTAAATCTACATCAACCCCAACATTGACATATTCCCTTTTATAAGCTGTCTTGACTTTGCCGCTCTTCTTGCTGTTAAAAAAAGAAAATTAGGTTAAAATTAGTCTACTGTACATTGATAGCAATGTAGGATTTTACGATGAATAAATAAAAAGCTTACCCAGTATTTGGTGAAAATGTGGTGTCAAAAGTAAGCTTCAGCCCCTTGGTAATCTGAGAATGGATTAAGACATCAGTCAGACGTTATGTAGAGATGTTTTACTATCAGATGATCATCCTCATAGCAGAAATTTCAGTTTACCTGATCCTCAACACAAATTTCTGTTCCCAGTGTGTTTTCTGTGGTCCACTTTTCTGTAAACGTCAGTCCGTACTCGGACCACTTGTACTTGGTTTCCAGGGTTCCAGTGACCTTGCTGGTGTCCACGTTGGATGAGCCAGAAGTTTTAAACTCCTAAAGTGATTAAAAGAAGGCATCATCTACATTTGAAAACATTGCAACAGACTGGAGTTCATCAACTATCACAAGAGTGCATTTAATTTGTTATAGAGCTAATTGCAGACGCTTGCAGATAGTTTAATTTTTTTTTTTACTTATATCTGCAATTCATTTTGTTATATTACATTAACAGCTCAACTCACCACTCCACTTGAAGACTTTGTCTTGACATCAAGCTTAACCAGTCCAAAACCTGCAAGGAAAAGTCCATTCAGTGACTACTTACTTATTAGCATATTGTTTATAATGTCCATACTGTAAATATTGTCCATACTGTAACTATCTTATATCCATCAATGCTGCTCTATAATATACCAGTCTTATCTGTATCCTCTGCACCAGCTTACCGTATTACCTTACTACCATATTGCACTTTATGCCTATTCATGTTTGTACTGCACCTTGTTGCTCTTTTGCACTTTTTTTTTTGGTTCTCTGTACAATGACAATAAAGTTGAATCTAATCTAATCTAATCTAACTTCCCGGCTTCCTGATGCATTTCAAACAGCCAGCATCTCCTCTGAGGGCCGGTAAATTCACAATTATAAAAACTGCTTTTTCCCCCATCTAGCTTCCAGTTACCATATCCCTTATTGAAGATGTCCTTCGCTGATTTCCCAAGGTCTGCATATGCTGGAGGCACTGCCATTTTGCCTGCAGCAAAGAAAGTAATTGTAATTGTTATACAGCGTACTTTAAAGTTCAAGGATGTGCACAAAAAGAAAAAAAACATGCATAATTACTTGCTCTGTGAAATAAAAATGTGTAAAAGTTATCTCATCCTTTTGAAGATGCTTGTAATGTCAAGACACCTGCATCACTTTTCTTTTCTTTTTTTAAAGTCAAACGGCCTCGATTACTCTTAAAGATCTGATGTCGTGTCCCAAGGTTAAACTGAAGGTTTCTCTGAGAGGCTGCTTTACATTAACCAGGAACACACACAATAACAACACACCTCTCAAACCCATCCTTAAAGTGTGTCTTTATCTAATCTATTAGCAGTAATGCGACTCTAATCCAGCACTATAAATTAACAAATGAGTAAACTGTTTTCATGTGGAAATATTAAATTAAATTGGATTTTTCTGTGACTTGCTCAATCGTAATTTGATGTGGACCCTCTCCAACGATATGTAATGATATACTGTCACTAGTGCGCTTGCTTTAATGTTTGGAAGGATCACATGAGGGGCTTTTCGAAGCTAGCAAAATGGGTCGTTTCATTATCGTCTTTAAACAAAGTCCATTTAAAACTCACCTTTTGTAACTCTTAGGAAATATGCAGCCGGTTACTTACCGAGTATTACTGTTGTTGCTGCCTAGTTGTAAAAGAGAGAAAAAAAGCGGCTGATAAAAGCAGTAAGGGACCGGGTATAGGACGATATGGAGGAGACACCGCAACAAGCACCCTCCTGACCTCGGCGCAAGCAGGACCCCCAAATATAGGTGGTTATTTCGTGCCTGTTTGAAAATCGGGGACAATGTGATCATTTTAGACTTTTTTTTAAATGATTATCAAGTAAATGCTGTGTGGTTTGGCAATAGCAAAAAACAAAAAAAAAATCCTGTTAATTGTAAGAGCTGATATTTTCCATGTTTAATGTTTACAACCGGCGCACCGGCAAGCGAAAGTCCTCCAAGTAACCATGGTAACTAATTCGCTGGCGTAAGGGTATTTGGCAGCTAAAGAAAAATAGAAAATATATCATTATATATTATATTTATTTAATTATATATTATATACGTATCATTAACGTAATAGACAATAAACGACTACAAAACACTCCACACATTTTTGCATCTTTTCAGGCATATCAATTTAATATAACTAATTTTCTTTTTCTTTTTTTGTGAAATAATTTGAACTAATTTTTTATAATTTTTTATAATTTTTTTTGTTTATTGTATTTTCGTGCTTTTCATTTTGTTTTGTATTTTTGATATGTTTGATTTTATTTGATATGTCTGAAATAAGTTTAATCAATCAATCAATCAATCAAATAGTATTGCCATAACCAGCCAGTTACTTTGAAACTTGCCTGAAGTTAGTCTGGGTGTCCATTATTCACAGTTATAAATACACATTGTGTTCCTCTATTAGTTTAAGAGCCATAGTCCATCTCGAGTCTTTTTTCCTGTAAAATGACACTTTTGGAAAACTTTGCTTTATTCATAATGATTTCTATGTTACTCACCCCTTAATCCAAATTAAGTTTCAAGTAGTCTACATCATGGTTGTCCCCTTGTCATCCAAGATAACAATACAAATAAAGTAAAGATTTCAAAAAGCTTTCAACAGCTGTGTAAACTGATTATCTCACATCCTTGCTGAAGACTATGCACAGTATTTATCTAGATTACAAATTAGGTGTAGCTGTGCCATGAGTGGGAAGGAGAGACGAGCGCTTGGTCTTTAATTTCAGCTTCTTTAATGTTGGAAATGACTGAACAAGACATGGAACAAGTAACATGGCTTTGCTGAAGTATATGGACACAACAGCATCACTCCTTAACAAACTGAAATGTTTTAGACTGTCAAGTCAGTTTTAGAAGAATCATGTTCCTAACATGCTGTAAAAGTAAATTACAACATCCCCTTACTACAGTGGCAGGTTACACTCCATGAAATGTAGAAGCCGATCTGAAATCTACATTACACTTAGAAAGCACATTGTGTTTCAAACAAATACCTAGTTAAGAGCAACTGTAAACATATTTCTCCATGTGCATGTTGCTAGAACACTGTACAGGAAATATAAAAATACCTATCAACATTTACAAAATTAAATAAATTAATATAAACAAATACAAATTCAAGGGTACGTTTTTAAGAACTATTACTAAAGGTTCATGTTAAAGAATTATTCTAAGGGAAAGCTCATAATGTAGTAGGTCAGGTCATTTACACTATGGTGGTGAAATAAAGAACTTTACACATATTCTACAATAAAAATGAACAATTTGGGACATATTTATACAGAGAAAGCCATCATAACACTAAAAAAATTGGCAACTGGAATTATATTTAAGACAACTGGAAAAAAAAAATCCATCTTTTGGCTGAATTCAAGATATTTTTTTCTAGGTCTGGTGAGGAAAAGGCAGGCTAAGTGAAATAATATTCATAGATCTCTACTTTCCTGCCAACTTTTGTTACATTGTAAAAACAAAATCCCAGTCTTAAGGAATGAAAAAGACTTTGAAACAATGGCAAAGATCTGTTTCTTCACATGATGAGCAATATTTGCGCTGCAGAAAAGAGCAAAGGTGAAACACTGATCTTTAAATATTGCTTTAACGGTGGTCCATGATGCTTTTGTTATAAATAATTAAGAAAAAATGTTCAGTCAAGAATCCAATCCAACCATGGCATGATCAGGGATAGTTATTGCACAGAGGACGGAGAACTGTTGTGAATCACAAGTTACACTGCTGCTTGAAAACTTTTTTCACGTGGCTCCCTTCTTGTCATTTGCTATCCGGAAAAAAACAAGGATGCGTCTCAGACAAAAAGCAAATCCAATTTCTCCGGGCACGATTTCTAGAAAGGCAATGCAAGGACACATCAAGAGGATTAAGTTTGCTGAACAACATGATTGGATGAGATTACAAGTCTATCCAGGTTGAAATAATAGACCTTTGAGTTCAAAGAAAAATTGGAATGACATTTTTGCTTCAAGAGCCAGTTATCAATAAAGTTGCTGTGGGAACACAATTGAATTATTGTCTGTGGGCATTTAGAGATGTACAATTGTACAACCTAACAGTAGCGAATCAGACGGGGCTACAACATGTTGTAGGTCTGGAAAAATATGCATCTGTCACTTAATTAATGCGACAAACTACTAACCAAGTTTGCATTGGCTGCTTAGGGCAAATACTTATGGGCAATCAAATACTCAAAATACACTCCAGCAGCTGTATCAACACAAGTTGTGTAAAAAACTAATTGCTTTGCATTCAGTCTGAACACACCAATTTCAGGTAATGAGGTACAAAAAAATAGCGATTCAAACTATCCCCATAGAGGGGAAATAAGCAACAGAAAATGAGACACCGTAGTGTTTACCTTCAAATAAATAAGGGTGTATATGGGCGTAGTTGAATCTGCCTAAACAGTTAAAGGGAGGCAGGGGAACAGAGGAGTCCTGAAGTATCCGAAGATATGGTTCTGTGTATTCCATTAGGCCTTCGGTGCTATCAGGACCACAACATTTGTCTTTGCTGATGTAAATGTCACACACTGCTTGAGTTGGCAACTAGACAAAGCAGACGTAACAGCACAGGCTACAAAGTGTCTGACAGTTCTGCTGATTCCTGTTCATCATCCAATCAGCCTCCTTATCACAGCGGGTCGTGAAAATGGCCAGCTGTACTCGTTGGGGACGGGCCCGTTGACATTGCACTCGAAGAAGGAGAACATGGGGAACCAGATGCGAGCTCGTCGACTCTGCTGGTAGGCCCTCGTGTTTGCTAGAGTGTGGTAGTACAGGAAGAGTCTGGTGGTGATGTAGAAGGCTATGAACACATCGATGGAGTAGTGTTCATGTGCAGCCAGGATGAAGAAGATGCCGAAGAGATTCAGGACCCAGGACAACGTGTGGATGAAGTTCCAGCTTCTTGGCGTGTCTGTAAAATTACAACCAAGAATAGTTAAAGATATATGAAATCTGATTTGTTCTTGTTTTTTCAAGGTTTACAAAGTAAATTAAAAATATATTGCATATTTATGTAGCAGACCTTTTCTTTCTGGCTGATAGTCTTCTCAGTTGTAATACTAGTGAAGGACACCAGATGGCGACAAAGGGGCAATGTTGACATACATGGATAGCTGTTTCTCGGTCATGATTCCCTACACCTCAACTTAAACAAAATATCTTCAAGGGGCTTTTTAAGTATGAAGTAAACAGGTTGTGTTCCTCTCTTTAAGCACAACAAATATGAAGGAATAGTGTTCGACTGAGATGCGACTCACATTCTGTGACAAAGAAGTTGAGCATGGTGAGAACCACAGTATGGCCGCTGAACATGTAGTCACCACACGTATGCACTCCTGTCAGGGTCATCCCGAAACCGCTCCAGATGGCCACAGCTCGCTGCAGTTTGGCCCACATATCACCATAAATCTAGTGAGAAAGGGAAGGTGAAACGACCATAACGGAGAGGCAGAAAAAGTAGTGCTAAGGAAATGATGTGCACACAATTCCCCATTGTGTTACCTTTCCTGAACATTGCAAGTGCTGTCCAGGCACAGACAGGGAGGTGACAAACATGGTGATACAGCGCAGCATGAACACTGTGCCCATCAGGCTGCACAAGCGCCTCAAAAGGATGGACCTAGAAATGATTTAAAAAAAGAAACAGTTAACTTGACTGAAGGAACACACTGAAGGTATTCCACTGCACGGACATGACACACTGTCAGGACTCTACCTGTGTTTATGAAGCAGCAGAACCAACAACCAGATGTTACAGAGGATCACTCCACATGCTTCAGCCATCGCAAAGGCCCATGGTATTCTAGGCACACTGTTGGAATGGAAAAAAAAAAAAAACTATATCAAGATGTGATCTGTATTATCATCATTAATCAATAACAGAGCTACAAACAGTCTCTGGACAAGTACTGTAAATAGAGGATTTGCTGTTTGGATCATTTCAGTCAGGGCTTGACAATGAAAAGCTCTCATTAAAAGTATACACAGAAATGTAAAGACAGCCCAACTTCCCAATCAAATGGATTTTTTGACCAGTTGGGGATGAAATAGATTTTCTTCCACAATCGAGATAAAAAGCTACAGAACTTAGAAAAGTGACACGGTAAGTAAACTACCGTAATCCTTAAAAGATGGGGATACTGTTGACAAAAAAAATGTGCAACATGACATAATATAGTGTCAGCTCGAATAGCAGCCCCCCCCCCCCCAACAGACACCATGAATCCCCTGAAGAGGGTTTGAGAGCAATTATATTTGATCAGCACACTGTCCAAGTTAGTGTCTTTCTACCAGGTCCAGTTGTTTTAAAGAGAAGGTGACCTCTGATGCTGAAGTTCAGCATTCACGAATGATAACAAATGCAGGAATCCAACTTCAAAAAAACAAGCTAGGCTTATTTCAGAAGCAGCACGGCTTGCAACCTCACCATGACAAGCAGTATCTGCTGAAGAGTGTTGGAGAAACAATGACATTTAACCTAAAAGTGCATTAGTCTGCATACTTTTTAAGTAACCTTTTTTTTTTGTTTTGTTTTTTACCAGGAGCACTCCCAGATACAAACATCTATTTTACAGGGGAGTCCTTGAGAAGACAGCAGCATAAAAAGCTTCACACAGAGAACAAACAACAGACTAACATCGAGCAATATTACGTCAGATGATAAAACTAGCCACATTCAGCTGTAAACATGTGCACAAACTGGTCAGATGATCCCTTATCCTGGTTTTTAAATCTTCCAGACTAAAAATATAACAAAATGTTCTACTGTAAGTAGACTTACTATGCATACTTACAGCCTTTATTTAGTTAGCACTAAGTAGGTTCATTAAGCTTTATCATAATATTTCTCAAACTTTCAGTATTAACCAATTTTATATTGAGATAAATATCCATATTGATCTATGTTGTAAAATGTCTAAAGTATAAGAACAACTTTTTAGCTCTATTAGCCCGCACTTTGTTGTTGGCTTAAATATTTAAACAGTTCTCTTTGTTTAAATATCCTTCATAGGTGTTTATTTTTCATTGTAAAAATCTAAATATCTACAGCTTATTTACCAGGCAAAACACACGGACATCTTTTTGATATTCCAGTAAAACTGAACTGAATTTCATGAGAAGCTCGAAGCCGTGCTACGCTTAAAAAGTAGGTCAAAAACACTCAAAGATCCTTTTGAACCTAAGCTAGCCCATCAGGAATATGCGAGGACAATAATAGAAATGTGCTCCAAGAAAGTAGGGCAATTATTATGTCCACCATCTGGTGTGATATTCGGACAGTTGGTTCAATTTGTATTTTTGTTTCACTTTCCCTTTGGAAAAGCATAGAAATGTTTTGTAGATTTTTGAAGTGGCTCCAGTTGGAAACTAGAGTGTCTTAGTTGTCATACACGTACCTGTCAAGGAAAATATCAGGCAGTGGAGGGTATGTGCGCATGTCCGGCACCCTCTCGTGCACTATGACCATGACGAAGGAGGTGAACCCAAAAACAAACACCACATAAACGGAGCTAAGCACTGTTTTCCAGTATTCTGGATCCAGTCTCCTCGTCTGCTGCTTGTACTTCCCATTAGTGTACTGGTGGTACTCTTCTCCCACTGGAGCTGTGTCAGTGCTGTCACAGTCTCTGCCGGAGTCTCCGTTACACAGCCAGTCCAAAGTGCCTCCTGAGCCTGACGGAGAGTGGCCGTCAAAGGGAAGACCCAGCTCCTCCAACACGTCCATGTTCTGTTTCTGGAGTTTGCGGATGGACACCATCAGGCGCTTGATGTCCCCCAGCACCTTGAGCTCCAGGGGTGGCGAGCGGAGGTCGTACTCGCTGAGGGCAAGCAGACTGGTGCCATCCAGTCGGTGCTTGTTGCACAGCAGGTCGACATAGTCGCAGAAGCCCTCCTCCTTCAGCCACTTGGCGACATGTTTGGGCGTCCAGCGCCGAACGCTGTGTTGTGTCATTTCGTCCTCACTCTGAAGGCTGTGGAAAAGAAACATCACAATATGCAAACTGTCTGTGTCAGTTCCTTATTGACTCCACCTTACAGAGAAGTGGAAACTCTTTCTTTCCACTTAATCAGCAAATACTGATTCCAAACAAGACACTGCAAGACTGCCACAAAGATGGAAAATGTTCTTGTTTTGACACATTTTAGTTGTCAACAAACTCGTTTAAAACATGTCCTGATCCCACTGGTTGCCTAAGCATTCAAAATGAGTGCAAATATTTGAGGTAATAGTTTACTTAGGTAAGTTTTCACAATGCAACAACATCCCACAGACTGTAGGTGAAGGAGCAGATGAAAACACAGAGACGAATGACCTCTGATGACAGCAGTGTCCACATCTAATTAAGACTGCAGATATCTATACTTGTTGGCCTGCTTGTCAGGTTAGTGATCACATGACATAAACACACAGCTTAAACGTATTAAAGAAAGTCAGTAACCCTACAACCTGCAAGTCAACCCCACATCCCAGGCTATCAATAAAGGCAGAGGTAGTAGCTAATTAGGCTAATTTATTTCATTTATCTGTTAAATAACAAACAAATCTAGTGATTGACGTTGTGTGCGACCACAAGCATGCCTGAGGTGGCATGAAAACCACACGATGCCATCATTTTCTTCACCCACAAACAAACCCCTGCCCTGCTAATTCATCTCCAGCTAATGTTAGCTCGGAGGCTACCTGCTAGCCTGATCAATGTCGCTCACTCACCCGGACTGAGATCGTAACAGAGGTCGAAAAAGACACGGATTTATTGAGCTAGCCAGCTAAGTGGCATCCCGCAAGAATCTGAAGAAACCGTATTAGCGTTTGCTGCAATAACACTGGCTTGTTGGAAACCATCTCGCCCTGGCTTGCGCGCTGGTTAGCATTCACTGTTGACAACACACAGTGGTAATGTCCAGAGTAGCTGCGCAAGTAAAACACACAGGGCAGGGGATCACACTGGGAAACAGCGACATCTGGTGGTGCAAATTGTGTACTGCAGTGTCTTTAATTCTGCAGTTTTGTGATCGATTGTTTAGACTAAAAACAAATATTCCTTGAGTAATAACAGGCTAGAAATTAAAAAAAAAAAAATCATCAGAAGACACACTTTAAAATTAATTAGATTAAGAAGTCTGACAACTGACCTACATGAAGAAAATGTACTACAGATTTAATTTTAGAACATAAACACCTGCCCTTGTCAGTAGCTTTCCCGACATGGGTGTTGCAAAGCCCAAGCAGGGTTTGAAAAAAAATCAGTGTTTGGGATTTAAAATCTTTTGAAAGTTTAGTAGTTAACAGAATAGCTTTAGTACCTTATGTGGTCAAATATGAACAATGCACAGGGAAGTAATGCCGTTTCCCCTGTTACTCCTTCTGTGAAAGACTTGGTGAAGGTTTTATATGGAGGGAAGAGATTTGGAAATCGTGTGGATGAAGTTTGGCCTGACTTATTCATTGGCGACATGTAAGTCTCATTTATTACATCACACAAAATGGTTTACTATTGATGTTTTTATTTTTTGGCTTTTGTGCCTTTAATGGAGAGATAGGACAGTGGACGGAGACGGAAATCAGAGAGAGAGAGTGGGGATTGACATGCGGGAAGGGAGCCATGGGTTGGACTCGAACCCGGGCCGCCTGCGTTGAGGACCGCAGCCTCCATACATGGGACGCACGCACTAACCACTGCGCCACCAGAGCCCCTACTATTGATGTTTTGAGTAAAAAAAATTATTACTTTCTTCCACAGGTCTGTAGCCAACGATCGTTACAGTCTATGGAAGCTGGAAATCACTCACATTGTGAATGCTGCTCATGGGAGGATGCACTGTCAGGGGAGTCATGACTTCTATGGCTCCACTGTAGATTATTATGGAGTGCCTGCTGATGACTCACCGTCCTTCGACCTCTCTCGCTATTTCTTTCCAGCTGCTGAGTATATTCAGAGTGCACTTGACACAGCTGGTGGTAAATAGCCATCATGCTCCTTAATGTCACTCTTTTTTCTTGTTTGACTGTTGAGGGATTTTTTCTGCAAGTAAATCCTCAATATCAAAACATAAAATCAAAGAATTAGCTCATGCTTTTTACTCAATGTACTTTTTCTTCTTCTTCTTCTCTACCAGCTCGTGTTTTTGTGCACTGTGCAGTCGGAGTGAGCAGGTCAGCCTCCCTCGTCCTGGCCTACCTAATGATCCATCATCATTACTCTCTTCTAGAGGCCATCCATAAGGTCAAAGAGCGGAGGTGGATATTTCCAAACACAGGATTCCTCAAACAGCTTTGTGCATTGGATGTGAAGCTACGCGTGACTAATCCTCTGTACCTCAAAGACAAATAGATTTTCTTATTTACAGAAGACATTTTTTTTCTCTTCATAAATGAAGAATTCAGAGCCCGCCAGTGGAGGCAGATACTGTACTTTGAGTTTAATCAGATTGATCTAAGAACAATATTGCAATGTTTTTTGTCCCCTGACTCTGGAGGTTTGTTTCCTGTGAATCATACTGCCTGTTCTCAGGATATTGACCCTTATATTAATAAGGGATCAGTATGATGAAGTCACCCTGAGGCTCAGTCCATTCTAACGGATGACCAGTGTGACTGCGCCCTTAACAGTGAAAATTAGACCAAATAATTTACTTAACTTTGCATTATGTTGAAGAACTATCTCTTTGTCTGTTTGTTGTGTTTTACTGTGTCATGTTCATTTGGTTATCAACTTTAATAAATATAAAACTCTCATTACAAAACCTGCTTTACAATCATTTAAAACACTTTGATCCAGATTTACACAAAACGTATTTACTTAACATTGCATTTAAAATGTCATCAATTATATAATGCCTGTTATTCTTTGTATTAGGCCACTCTGGTTTTGTTTTAACCTTTATAATTAAGCTAAAACAGATGGTTTATAATTCAGTATAACTAAGTGATAAGCAGAGTTAAGGACATGGATGAAGTGATTCAGTCTGAAGCCTTGATTACGTAACCCTAGTATAACCATATAGGGGCAGCTGTGGCTCAGTTGGTAAAGGCGGTTGTCTCTCGACCAGGGGTTCGATCCCCAGCTCCTGCTGCCACATGCCCGATGTGTCCCTGGGCCAGACACTTTACCTCTGCCAGACACTTTCCCTCTGCTTCGTCATTGGCATATGAATGTGTATGAATGAATAAGTTACTTCTAATGGTCACCTTACATAGCAACCTCTGCCATCAGTGTGTGAATGGTCGTGAATGGGTCGGTGTGACCTGCAGTGTAAAGAGCACCATGAGTAGAAGACTAGAAAAGCGCTATACAAGCTCAAGTCCTTATACAACAAATAAACTTCACTGTGTTTTAATCATTGTATTCAAAGTTCTAATACCCACTTGTGAATGATAAAGACGTGCTTGTTTGTTTGTTTTTAAAATTAGATTCTTTATAACAGGCTGTAAAGATTTTTTTTATGTGTCTAATCTAGTATCATTATAAAGATGATGCTGAGTTATCAAGTGTTACCTAACTGTTAAGGGGTTATGATTTCTATGTATGACCTGACAAATACATCAAAAATACAAAAAAAAAAGAAGAATTCTCCACCAACGTTTGTGTCAAAGGTCTTTGATACATTAAGTTAAAAAATGAATTTGAATTATATTTTAATGTAGAATAATTTGAAATTGTAAGATATCTTGTGCTTCATTATAACTTCTATACCCTGCCATCCAGTCCTTTAGCTAATTCAGCGACAAGAAATCGGAACTGTGTATCTTTCAATGGTCCTGCTGTTTATTTTATATGAAGTTTACTCCAAATATTAGCTTAGCTGCTTTTCAAAGTTTGAGTTATTTTTAGGCTTTTCTTTTGCCTTTATTTTAGAGATAGGACAGTGGATAGAGTCAGAGGCCAGGGAGAAGGAGAGTGGGGAGTGACTTGCAGGGAGCCACCAAACTCATGCCGTCTGCTTGGAGGACTTGAGTCTCTGTACATGGGTCGAACGCACTAACCGCTAGGCTACCTGCGCCCCCCTGCTTTTAAAAGTTTGCAAGCTGTATTTAAAAAAAATTCTTAGCAAATGTCAAATTTCTCCATTCAAGTGTAGGGTTTCATTTTGCTCTCAACTTTTGCACCACTTTCGTATAACAACATGTTTTCTGGTTCAGTGGTCAAGGGGATTGAACTCTTATTTTGTGATGGATTCAAATGATTCAAGCATGTTTTTTTTCAGGAATGTTCAAGTCTTTGCAGCTTTACTTTCTTCTTCGGCTTTGATCATTTATATGTAGATGTTATTTTGATCTATATTTTCAATCCTCTACAGAGAAAACCTACGTCATAACACCCTCGGAAACATCTTCCGCGACTCAGTAGATGCAAGGCTTATTATTTTTGTCTTGAGAATCTTCTAACGTTCATTGGAAAGTCTCTTACAAGATGCAGAGCCGTGGTGCATGAAGAGTGTCAAGCAAGGCCTCTTCTCGCTCAGAAGCACACATAACTACACTTGAATCTGGATCTCGTAGGAATCCCACAATCACCAGCAGGTACGGATCTCATTTTGAAAGCATTATCTTCATATCAGGTGGGATTTGTACCACAGATTCACCCGTAAGTAGAAGCAACACTTTAAATAATGAATCAATAACTACCTCCAGGTTAAAATGACCCCAAGACCTTTATTGACTGATTTTGTGTACAACATTTTTTTTCACACATTTACGACCCCAAGAGAAGAAAAGTCATTACATTCATTGGATTAAAGAAGAGGTTAATTAGGTTTTTTTTCTTCCGTTTGACAGCTGGAATTGACTTTCTCTATAATAGGATAGTTAAAAGAAAAATTAGCATCAGCATGACGGCTGTTTAATGTTCCGTGAAGCTTTATATTTCCACTCCTTCACAAGATATTTGTATCTTAGCAGTGACTGGCTGCTTGCTCTTACAGTACATCTGCTGCATAAATGCAGTGGACTTGCTGTCATCTAGCATAAGAACAGCACTTAAACATTTTGTCCATAATTATATCCAATTATCACTCCTTTTATGCAATGATTCATCTCTATTTGAGGCTTATTAAATTAGCTTCCCACAGTGGTGTGAAAAGCAGAGCCCGGGCTGCTCTGTTTGTTGTTCTGCCCTCTGCACAAGTAAGACTACACGCTAGGTTAAGCACTAAATTGGGTAACCGTCCAGTGACGGCAGATAAACACCTGCTCGTACAGATCATCTCGAGCCCGAGGTTGACGTGAACTGCTTCAATACAACAAACATTTGGAGCAGAAATCGATCAAAGAGAGGGGGGATTTGGACTGAAAATGTCATCCATGAAAGGAAAGAGAAAAGAATATCTGACTGTGAAGGATCTGCAGAAGGTTTTGGATTCTTGCAAACTACATCTCAATGAAGTAGATGAGGTGTGGCCAAAAATATACATAGGGAATGTGTAAGTATGCATTTTAATTCAGTTTTAAACCGTACTTAATGATTGTGCTTGCAAGGAAATCTGAAACCTGTTAAGTGTGCTATTTTTGTATGAATACATCCGGCTTCATATTCTGTTATCCTGCTTTCACACACTCTTTCTGTCTCTGTTTTGCTAGGGCAGTTGCCCAAAACAAGGCTGCTCTGCTGAAATTAGGTATAACTCACGTATTAAATGCTGCACACTCCAAGCGAGGCAGCATAGGGAACCAAAGCTTTTATGGCAACACCATTGTGTACTGTGGCATTCCTGCAGAAGACTCCACGCACTTTGATCTGGATGTTTACTTCCAGCATGCAGCTGATTTCATTCATAAAGCTCTCAAGTCACCTGATGGTAAGAGTCCTGGAGGCTTCTTTTGAACAGTTTCTGCGTTGAGAGTTTTAATTGTATAATCCAGCAGTTACAGGATGAAATTATTTGCTGGAAAAACATGTTTTCATGCACATTAGTTTTTATGTCACTACATAAATCCTTAATAAACCCATCCACTTAAATTCTCCCATCATGCATTCCCTTTAATGTCACCATGTAACACAGCTTTTAATGTGAGTGTACTTCCAGCCAGCAGTAATGATTAGGGTCCTACCTTGCAGAATTTAAGTCTATAATGTGACCACGGCTTCTTTCAAAGAAGTTATCAAGCAGGGGACAGATTGGGATTAAAGAGAGAGTCAGGCTAAGTCTGCAAAGGGACTTTAAATGAACAAAGAACAGAAGATGAATTGTAGGAACTATTTTTAGCTCACAGCAGGAAAAAAGAAAGGCCACAGCGTGAAACAGGCAGCCATGTATGATATTAATAAAACGGAGCGCTCTCGCTAATCCTTCCTTCACATTCTCTCTCTTTCCCTTCATCTTGTCTGTTCTTAAGGGAGGGTTCTGGTGCACTGCATCATGGGAATGAGCCGGTCATCGACCTTGGTGTTAGCTTACCTCATGATCTACCGCCACCTCACACTCAAACAGGCTTTGCAGAAACTACTTCAGAAGAGAGCGATCTATCCCAACAGGAATTTCCTGGCTCTGCTGCTGGATCTGGATCTTCAGCTGACGAAGAAAAAGAAAACTTGTCAGATCCTTTAAATAAGTTTACATGTTTAGGTCACACAGGAACACTGTGGCTAGGACTGATAATTTCAGTATTTTGTTTTTTTTTATGCTAATGAGTTAATGTGAAGTTTTGTTAAATGAATGATGAAAATTCCTCCAGGCTCACAAATATCATGTTAGCGACAAGTTAGCATGTAAAACAGAAAAAAAAAGGTGGAGTTGAACACATCACTCTGTTGCATTTAGTTAAACTACTCTTCCTCAGTTTTTAATAGCATCCTAAATATAACATAACCATTATCAACATGCTAGCATAGTTAGCACGTTGGCCTACAGAGGAATAGTGAATTCATACATAACATACAGAATTTAATTCCAAACAATCAGCTCTCACCAAGGAGATGAACATGACTACTAATATTAAAACAAACAATCAACAAATAGAGCGTATTGACACGCACATATTAGCATGCTGACAAAGTAGGCTACTGAAAACATGTGAGGCTAACAACATGTTTACGTCCAGTAGGCTAGCTTAAATGCTAAAATATGATAGAATTTAGCTCAGCGCACAACTGGGCGTAAGGATATTTGAGGCAAGCGGTGAAACACCTACATGGAAGACAGTTTGACTAAATTAAACAGTCTGGCAAGCTTGAGTCATGGCAAAAACATTTGAGCAATTTGTCCTTCTCTTTGGCACCAAAGTCAGGCTAAGCTCTTTGTTGTTCCAACAATGCATTACCTCCATATAGCCTATAGACATGTTCTTAATTTTTTGGGTCTTTTTCTGAAAAAGACAAACAAAATAGGTCTTAACTTAAGGTTGTTTTCATTGCAGAACGAATTAAAACCTTGTTTAATGAAAGGAACAATTACTGAACAATGAATATTTCTGACATGGACGTTTAAAAAAACGTTTTATGCCTTTGAGTTGTGTTTTCTAAATCTCATTCTTTGGCAAGGCTTTTCTTCACTTTGTACAACAGCAGAACGGACCAAATGCAATGAGGAAAATGTATTACAAGTCAACGTTGCTTGTGAACTCTGTAGATGACTCTGAAGAGATAGAACTTTTTTTCTATTAAATGTCAACATTCAAGTTCAAACGGGAATCAATCTACAGAAAATGTCGCTTTATCAGTAAATCAGTGTTCACAGTGTGAAATATCTTTTGTGTGTGTGTAGATCATGAGACTGTTTGTTCTGATCGCAACAAAATGTTTTGATTGTCATCTGTGTAAAAAGGAGAAATGTCAGATAAGATACTCGTTTATAGACAGCAATGAATCTAGTTTGTATAAATCATCTTTACTTCACCTCACACAGGTTTAGAAGAAAGAGATTATCAACATTAAAGGTTAATGCAAACCTCAATGTTATAGAGAATCAGCAGTATGTCAAAAACTATTTGTTTTATGATGCATGATTTCTGTCTGTTGAGTCAAAAGTTCAATTTCAACATAAGTATTACCCCAATATTTCATTTAGGTATAATAAATTTGATACAATGTATCAGGAAGTTTTGCGAAACATGACGTTTACATGATGTAAAGAAAAGTATGTATTGCTTTTATATACTATTCATCTACCTTTTTAAACTTGTGTGAATCTTTTTTGCATTGTATTTTTGTGCTTTATAGCTTAGACTGAGTATGTCTGAAAGGTTTTTGTTTGCCACATTTTAAAGTTTTTCTCCAAATGTTGGAATGTAAATCAGTTTTTTATGCTTGCAATTGCAAAACACTTTACATGGAAAGTAAAGCAGATCAAAAAGCCACGACCTACTGGTGTTGATTAGAACACATTTGACTGGAGAGAATAATCTAAGTAAAGACAGTGTTAGATTTAGAGCAGCCCTGATATTATTCTCATGCTATTGAAAAAGCCATCTCCTATCCTTCCTCCTAAGCTGGTAGCTCGGGTAACCTTTATGGAATGCAGAAGATGATGCCAAGATTATTTTGGGCTGAGATTCAGATGTTAAAATAGCAAAAAAGGTTGCAGGGTAGATTACAGAGGAGAAAGCAGACAGTTGTGCTGTCGACCTACATGTTGCTCTCGTACAGAGAGACACTGAAAAGCAACGTTTCCAGCAAAGGCAAGTGTCCACTACCAATATGTACAAATATGTTGGAAAATATGTACTACAGTGTCTATGAACTAGTGTTTGGATTTATTGTGTTTTATAGCATTATTTACAAGGCAAACATGACTATAACCCCTTTTGTTATTGAGTTTGTGTGATGATACTGCATTGCATGATGGATTACCACACTTTCTTCTTTTATTAATTTGCTTACAAGTGCAGACGAACCACAACCAAAAGGCTAAAGAGGGGGAGTGTAATTCATAAACCCACCGAGAAGAGGCCCCGAGGAGGTAAAAAGCCATTTTTATTTGCCCTCCATGTTAACCGTGGGCACTTTCCCATACATAGCATCTTTAATTACACAAAAGTAGAGCAGGAAGGACAGGTTAGCCTGAGGGGGGGAAGGCTATGAAAGCAGCGCTGCAGCTCAACATGTGCACCAGGGAAATCAGTTCTCTGCCCTGACAGTGGGAGGGAGGGAAGGGTTGTACTTATAGATCAATGAGGAGAAAGAAAAGCCTCCAGGTACTCCGGGCACATGTTGTACTTGTACAAAGACACACACTTTTCTCTGCCTTCAAGACTCACACACTCGTATGCATGGAGCATATGCTAAGACTAGTGCATACACGTGCAACCATGCACATACAGAGATGGACAAATGATGTTTGAGTGCACCTCCATATGCCACAACAGCTGAGCCAAAGGTCACTGAAACAGATTTTGGTCTCAATGACTCATCCCTGTGGACACAAAAATAAGTCTCCAAAAACATTGAGTGCCACACTACATCTCCACACACCAGCAGAATGCAAATAAAGAGCAGATTCTTTACTGTAACAATGCATACATATCGTTTGTACGTCCTCAGCCTGCAACAGACTAACACAGTTGCCTAAATGGATGCTAATATATACAGTAGACATAGGATAAGTCTCTCCAAAGCCCAGTGTGTAGATTGTAAATGCACAGGTTCGACCTGCCTGCAGGAAAGGAAAATCTGATGTTCATAGGCCTTGAATACCAATTTTCTGCATCTCTGGGGATAAATAAAGCTAGCAAGTGCCTCTGAACTGTTGATAAAATAATGAGAGCATCAAAAGGTCATCTTACAATTATGTGTTCTTTGCTACACGAGTACATTTATTGGCATATTTATAGACTCTATTAAAGGCCAAAGGTATGTTTACCAGATGTTTTAATGAACAATCCTCAGTATTGTGTTTCTCTTCCTGTTGTAAAGGCTCTCACTACAATTAGTCTCTTAGTTGTCAATAAAATTGTTTAGTTTTTAAAGGAATATTGAATGGTGTCTGAAACTGTGTATACCCTTTATTTAAACAACTTACAGCCTTGACACAACCGTTTGATATTGCAACAGAATTTGAGCTTCCACCACTGAAAATAAGGTCAAAGGAAAATGGACACATGTGTGAATATGGCCAATTCTTGTAGTTGAGTAAATTTAAGAAAAGAAAGTTTTCTGGAGTGCATATTCCAATAGTTAAAAGATCTTGCGGGTTAATAACCCCACATGCTTAAATTTCCATTTAGACTAAAAGTTGGAATACCATTTGTGTTACTTCTCTGTGACAGGTTGTAAAAACAGAAGTAAAGCATACCAACATGCCCAGAGGCCTCAGCTGCTTGGCGAGCCCTGAGGGGCCAGACAGCGGGTATGAGACCCCCCCAGCTTCAGAGCTCCAGAGGCTGATGTGGACAAAGAAAGGGAGCAGCAACCATCTGGATGAGGTTCAGCACAGGATCTATATTGGAGACATGTGAGAGAGTTTATTTAGTTTCAACGCTTTATGCTTCAGAGTTTATAAAAAATGAGCCAATGAAAAAAACACGTGAAGAAATATCGGATAATTCACAATAACATATTAACAATAAAATAACCATTGACCATGATTTGGCAAAAATTAGCTTCTAAGCAGCTGGTTTAACCTAAAGAGCATTAAGCTACTCTCCCTACCTGGAGGGGCTACCTTCTCTGTACTTACCCTACTCTCATCCTTCCCTCTCCCTACCCTGAACCATCACACTGTAAGGCAGCAGTCCTAACCACTACAACTTACAGTACTTCCAAATTGAGGTCCATGTTCCAGTGAGAGAAAGTCAGAAATCTCTAGCTTCATACTGGAAGGCTCAGTCAAGGATTCAAATAGAGAAGCATCTTGCTGTGAGGTGTTCGTGCTGAACAACACACCACTGCCCTGCCTTGCATGTCTGGCTTGTTATAATTGATAATGACATAATGACAATACAAAGGCTCAGTTTAAACTCATGTGGGTGGAGGTCAAACCTTTATAGCTACATGGAAAGGCCCCTGCCGGGATTTGAACCCTGTGCCTTCTCGCTGTGAGGTGGCAGTCGTACACCACTGGCCTGCCTTGCACTGCTCACCTGTTTAGGTTTTACACTTTCCCATATGGCAGACTTCATTATGAATGAACAATCATTCAATTTACAAGTTTGTAAAAAGAGACACTGTGCAATGTCCATTGGGATTTCTTCATGTACTCGAAGGCGTATTGAGGTCAACAGCAGGATAGGTTTAAGTGCTGGCTTGTTGGGGATTCTGTACATTCCCATACCTACATTATGGCACTTCAAATGGTAAAACAGTTGATCCAATAGATTATTTTCATTATTGGTGTTAATTAGTTGAGCAAAAAGCTCGAGTATCTCTAAAGAAAATCGACTGATACAACAACCAGAAGGTTTCATTACTAAAATGTGGGTCTGTAAGTTTTCACACAAAGGTGCCTCTCACTTATTTATTAAATCTTGAATAAATAATCTAAAAAGCTTTAGTAAAAATATTTTATTTATCAGGAATATGACAACATCTGAAAAATTAATACACATTCCATAGTGTGGTGTATTATTAACTACCATGAACTGTCCAAATGATCAAAACTTCCTTGTGAATAATAATGAAGTGCTCTTTTTTCTTTACAGGTATGCAGCCAAAGACAAAAGGACTCTCCAGGCTCATCACATCACACACGTACTCAACGCAGCTGATGGGAAATTCAACGTGAACACCGGCCCCAGCTTCTACCGAGACACCAAAATCACTTATCATGGAGTGGAAGCTTTTGACATGCCATCCTTTAACTTGAGTCCCTTCTTTTACCCGGCGGCCAATTTTATCAAGAACGCTTTAAGCTGTCCCACAGGTGAGGAGCTCTCACAGTTCCTGAGGTTTTTTTCCTCCTCATTCTCACAAATTAACTCAAATTCTGCAAGGCAAAGAATGGAAACATTTGTCATTCAATTCCCATTACAGCAGCCCCCAGTTGTATTAGTCATTAAAATGCAAATCAAACACTAAACATAATATCAGGCTAATATCTTTCCCCCACAGTAATCTCCTCATAAGCTCAGACCTTGGCCAGGAAAATTGGTTTTAAATGGATTGCCCTGGTAATTTGTAAGCAACACTTTTATTGGACATGGAAATTACACAATTATGTTTGTGGCCTGTGCCTGCCTGGCCTGTTATGCAAAGTGAAGTTGGTATCTGACATGACAGTAATAAGACGAGGCCTCCTCATTCACATTCTGGCTGATCGGGGGGCTCCAGTGTGTGGCGGGGCCTACAGTAATCCTTGGCAGAAATACACAGACGCCAAGACAGTTCAATTACGCGCTCCTATGCGCCCTAATCCTCAGGCTCCGATAAGGAAGCGAGGATTACCGTGTGTAGAAACATTTGTTGCAACATTGTTGAAAAACTTTTTAGTCAGGAGTTAGAAGTCCTCTTCTCTGTGATGTGTGTGGGTTTTTAATCCACGGAGAAGCAAACAAATTAGATGTTAGAATAAAGTTAAACACTATAATCCAGTCATTGCATGGTTTTTAATATATAGACGTGGCGCTTTTAGAAGATTCCTGAGCTCTGGATTTAGCGACAGGAAGTGATGTTCTGCTTTTCTCCCTCTCATGAACGGCAGGTAAAGTCTTCGTCCACTGTGCGATGGGTCTGAGCCGCTCGTCCACCTTGGTTCTGGCCTACCTGATGATCCACCAAAACATGACGCTGGTGGACGCGCTCAAAGCTGTCAGTGCCAACAGAAACATCTCGCCAAACGCCGGCTTCCTTGAGCAGCTCCGAGACCTGGACAAAAAGCTGCACTGCCAGGCATCAGCCAGGCTCTCCAGTTCCAACAGGCTGACTTGAGATGAATCCATTAGTTTTGTCTTTGCATAATCTACTGAAAACAAACTGCTGAATTTAAAAACATTTTCTTCTTGTTAGGTCTTTAAAGGGGACATAGTATGAAAAATCCTCTTTAACAGTGTTTTTGAACATATATTTGGGTAACCTGAGTGTCTAACAACCCACAAAATGTGAAATAAACCCATCCATTTGCATTCTCGCTACAGAGGAGTGATGTCTACTGGGAAAACTCATTGCATTGCATTTAAAGAGACACACACACCAAAATGGAGCGTTCTGCGAGAACAAAATGACAATGAAAACAATGACTCCATCCTTGGATTGTTTTGCATGTAAACAATTAGGTATGAAGAAAAGGCGACTTTAAATTTAACCTTAGTTGAGACCTTTTTTTAACCTATTATGCCTAAACATTAAAGTATTTTTTTTTAAATAAAAGTATAAAAGAGAAGAGTAAAATCAATAACATGAATTATGCTAATTGGCTAACTTGCCAAAGATCGATTAAAAGATTGGAACCACTTTTATTTCTGTTTGATAGATATCGAACCAGATCCAGGAAAGCTAAGCTCAACAAATAAACAGGAAGCAGAGTTAACAGCTGGCCTGGCACCTATAAAGCCAAATAAATAACACATTATTCTTCTTCCAATTTTTCTCATTGAATCTATACACAGAAGGGTAAAGACATCAAGATGTGGTTTTAAGGGGAGTCACATGAGCTAACTATCTTTTAGTAACACAGCCTGTCATCAGATATATGTCCTTTTTAAATAAAGGAGTTAAATGTTACTGAATTTATAAGTTGTTTTTCGGAGAAATAATCCCCAACAATACCGTATGTTTCCCCAATGGTTTGTTTGGAATCACTTACTCTATTACCACGGTAAACACTGCTGTGCTGCTGCATTTAAAAATGTCACAACACAAGCAGTCTGGATTCTGTCACAGTCATCTGAGAAATAAATAGTCCAGCCTGCTCCTGCCCAGACTCTGGCATCTTCAGCTGTCACGTTCCAGCAGGGGTCAGCCCTCCAAACAACACTGATAATCTGCTCATATGGAAAACAGAGCGAGATGTACTGGTAAGGTCGGAGCGTACTTTACTTCCTTTACAAAATGATGGGAAAAGTCACATGACAACAGTGATGACTTCTCAAATTTCCATCCAGGAACGCCAAGATCTAACTGTTATCTACGTGTTGAGTTAAATATATTTAGTGATAATTATACAACCACGCTGAAGGGAAATATGAAGCCAGAGGAGGAGCCAGAGTACCAGACACCACCCACCTGCGATCTGCTCAGCCTTCTGCTGAAGAACAGACGTCCCACTGGAGCTGTCAACGAGGTTTGGCCCAACCTCTACATCGGAGACGTGTAAGTGACATTCTCACTTCACGGCCCCGTTGCAATATGGTGATCTGATTGTGAAACTGTTGCTGCAAACAAGCGAGTTATTTGGCCAACTGACTGGATAAATATGAAATCTGTACATTTGAGTCACCAGTGATGCATTCACAAACACATGCTTACTGAGCGGGCCTCAGGAGGGAATAAAAAATAAAACCAGGAAAAGCTTCAATTTCTTGTATCTTTTCTCGTGTTTACAGTGCAACAGCTCAGGATAAAAGCCTGTTAAGGGATCTTGGAATAACACATGTGGTGAATGCTGCAGATGGTCCCCAGCACATTGACACGGGGCCATGTTTCTACAAAGACACCACCATACAGTACCATGGAGTGGGAGCAGCAGACTGTAAAGATTTTGACTTGAGCCCATTCTTCACTGAGACGGCAGATTTCATTCATGGAGCTTTGAGTCAGAAAGGTACAAGTCCAGCCCACAGAAAACAAAACACCTATAAAAAAACACAAAGGATTTATAATCCATATGGTAGCGTTTTCTTTTCTTTTTTTGCAAAAAATGTGCAAAAGCTAAAAATGTGATATATAAACTACTCATTGTGGAATTAGACCAGAAACAGACCTCTCTGTTTTTAGTTTGCACATAATTAATTCCAGAAATGATTAAAATAAATTAAGTAAGCTGTTTCAACTCAACTCAACTAACAATTCTAGAATAAGTTTGTATGAAGATAATTACATTTCAGCTTAATGTCGAGTAAGGTGTTTGCAGAATCCAGAATTTGGATTCCTGCTTAGTTTTCTTCATTATTCTCATAAAATGTACGTAAAAAGAATACGTACAAAGTGACTTAATAAGATCTGCTTTACAGAGAAATCTTTATCAAAAAACAATATTTTTTCATAACAAATTGTAAAAGGAAGGGCCTAGAAACTTGGGTGAGACCATGCCCAATATACATACAAAATAAATGAATTCTCTTTTTTTGTTTTTGATGGCTGTGTTACACCCCTATATTATGAAAACAATGAATCAATCTCCATTTAATAGTAATTTGTGAAGCGCAAATTCATAAGAAATGTTATCTCAAGACACTTGACAAAAAGACCATACTCTTTATTATATTATGTACCAAGACCCATCTTTAATCCACCATGGGCAGCACTAATCAACATTTAGCAAAGTTACTTTGGAAAGGAAAACACTGCCTTTTAAAGCAGGCAGAAACCTCAAGCAGAACCAGACACATGCTGAACAGCCATCAACCACAACTGTGTTGGGTTTGAAAACAACCTTAAAAACCAGCAGAAACGACCATTAAAATGAACATGAAGTTATTTTATCTCTATCAACTACATTATGCATGCCGTATACAGACACAGCTGACATTCTGATTCTCTTTTCTGTGTAGGTAAGGTGCTCGTCCACTGTGCTCGAGGAATCAGCCGCTCAGCTACACTGGTTTTAGCTTTCCTCATGATCAAAGAAAGACTTACACTGGTAGAGGCTGCGGAGGCCGTTCGCAGGCACAGAAACATTCTTCCAAATGTTGGATTTCTGAATCAGCTCTGTAATTTGGACTCTTTCTTGGCTCTGCAGAGAAAAAACAACATAACATGAAGAAGTGGAGAGAGATCATTGGGAGAGAATTTGCTCCATTGAGGATTTGTGAATCATTAGTTATGCACGTTTTGATCTGTTAAGTGTGGATCACAATGTGTTTACATTACAACAGACTATTTTCAAAACATGCCTGCCTAGTTTGAGATTATTCAGTGTTTATTTCTATTTTTCAGGCAGCTAATGGTTCCCTATAATTTATAGGTAGAGATATATAATAAGTTAGAACAATTTTCAAACTTGAGTTGTGTAATCCAAAACATTGAAAAGTAAAATTTTTACTGCAGTGTAGGTTCAGAAAGAGTTGATACATCTGTCTTGTAACTTTATAAGAAATGTCAAACATAAATTCTGATTTGAATAAAATCACGTCAAAGCTTGGTCTCAGATTCCTTTACACATGACCTGAACTTGGCCTGGATGACTTAAGACTTGTGATGAGTGAAGTGCGACTTAACAAGAACTTGACATCCATTGTTTGAGTTGTGGACAGATGTGTTCAGACACACATGTAAAAATAATTTGACTTTGTTAAACTGTACTTTCCATGTATTAACATTAAATATTAAACAATAAACAAATAAATAATAGAAGTCAAGTAAAATGTACAAGACTAAATAAGAAAATAGTGCAGTGATGAAAATGGATGCATTCTGTAGGTTGATGTCATATAAGGAAGTTAACTATATTTACTGATTAAGTGACTGATGTTAAAAAGTGGATCAGTAATCTTATGTACATTCACTGTGCGTGTTTGGTTTGAGGTTTAGCGGTATTTCTCAGTTACACTTCTGACACTCTCTGATGATTTTTCTGCAGACCTCTCTGTGTTTCTCCTGTTTGGTTGCAGATCCAAACCAGACACTGATGGAGGTTCAGAGAATAGACTTGAATATATGGCGGAGTAGAACATAAAGCGATGAAGCGCATGAACCTGAGACTTGTTATGATAGACATAAGACTTGAACTGGACTAGTCTTGAACGAATTGTAACTTAATTTTGAACTTAATACCTCTGACTTCTTTAAGACTTCTGAAATGTCTTTAGTTGAACGTCTGTTGCATAACTTGAAGCCTGATTTGAAACCTGTTTATGACTTGGACTTTTGGACACTTGACTTGAACATGTCTCTGAAGTGTTGATACTGACAAAACATTAAGAAGCTTTCATGAGCTGTATTCATATAGCACATAAATCATTAAAACGCAGTTATTGTCTCTAATGTTAGAAAAATTAAAGCTCCAAGAGGAATTCCAAGTTGGTTATGAACCTGACTGAAATGAATACTAATGTTTCTTTATGAACTACAAAGACACTATTTAATCAGCAACAATATTGATAATATCTATATTACTTTTTTAAATGTCTGTAACCTCTGCCAACGGGTAGAGGGACCAGGTTTTACAGCTCAATGCTGAAATAGCCTTTGTTGACATTTTACAGGGCAAAGATTCACTGTCAGTAATACACCTGACAGTTAAAGCGCATCAGAATGAGATTTCTCATCAGTAAACAGTAGTTACACATATACAGGTCTGGATCATCAGAGATAAGAGGGACCTTAATAACCAGAGAGGACGCCGAAATCAGCACAAACCGAAAGGTCCTCATAGGAGCTTAAAATGAAAAAAAAAAAAAAAAAAAACATACACGGCAGATCAATACATTTTTTAAAATAGTCAGCAAAAATGTGAACATGAACAACACATTGTATTTAAGGAGCTGAATCATAAAGAATCACTGGTTTGTTGCTCTAATTTACTGCACAATCAATGTCACAGAGGCCATTAAAACAAATGTAGCACAGACCTGCTGCACTTAAATAACACAAAGACAGTAAAAGCCTATCAATAAACAATGCTCCACTTATATACATTCACATGTCTGAAAATGCTGTGTCTTTACTGCCAGCCAGTGTGTCTTACAGTTAAAACTGTGATATCTAAAGAGGCTTGATACAAGATGATAAAAATACGCCGGCATGGTTCTGAGTGTGTATACAGATTCAGGTCAGACTTTGAAAAGAGATGAAACGCTGAAGCCATCTTAATAAGAGATGCTCTCCAGAGCACACTGGTAGAAAGAGAGAGAGAGAGAGAGAGAGAGAGAGAGAGAGAGAGATGCTGTCAAAATAAAAGGAATTGGATATCACAGGTTTAATGATTTCACTGTCAGAATGAATGATGGCAGAGTATGAAGATATGAGGGAAAAATAAAGGGAGTCTGATGGTGTGAAAACTTTGTCTGACATGTTAGCAGCTTCATCCAGCCGTTCTGCAATACAGTCATCATCACACTCTCACTTTGGGGGCTTGCATTTAGATCACTGAATGGACCATGCATATCATATAACGGGGGAATCAAAGACATGTGCCATCCTGTGAAAAAGCTCATCTGTCTAACAGTCTGACACATTTCAGTTCTCGTTTTGGCCCCCCGAGAGGCTCCAGAGAAATGCAGTACATCCTTAACGGGAGCTTACACGGTTTCTTCCCCGTGTCTGAAGATATGCAGAAAGGCAAAAAGAGACTGACAATTTTCAAGGAGTCTCTCATACGGCTGGGCAAAAAACTCAGAGTGTCCTGTTCCATCCTGTGAATTTGGGTATCCTTTGGCAAGTGCAAAGTTTGGATAAGCACGGCTTCCTGCCAGCAGCAGAGATTAAAGTTGTGTGTTTAGAAGAGGATGGCAGGGACGGGCTGGGTGGAAGTTTTCCCCACAGGCAGGGAACGTGGCAGCTAAGGTCAGGGGCCCGCCACATCACAGCCCTAAAAATATCCCCGCATTTGATGCCCCGTCACAGAGCGGTTATACAATCTGCGCCTGCCAGAATTAAACCGCACCATGTTCTGCCTTTAAGGACGGCATCACAACAAGCTGCCAGGATGATGAAAACAAAAATTTCAAGTAGCAAAAGTAAGGACTTATATCTCTTGTTGAGTAGAATTGGAGATGCATGTGAAAACAATAAACAAATGTTGTATTTGTCATGATTGCAGAGGGAGAAAGTAGAAGGGACAAAAAAAAAAAACAAGTGTGATATTTCTCCTCCCAGTTAAGCTAATAAATCATGTGTGAAAGGAAGCCACAGTGAGAAAATGGCTTCTCACAAGTCAAAGACCGGCACAGAGATAAATGTAACAAAGGAATCCAGTCCAGTGGATGAATATGTTACACCTGGGGGCTATGAGCTGGAGAAAATCCTTAACCGTGGGAGTGTGGCTTACACTCATGTCAACGAGGTCTGGCCAAATGTCTACATCGGGGACGAGTAAGTAAAAAAAAGTATTAACTTACGAAAATGAATAAACTTAAAGAGGATTAAAGTAATATTCACACCAGCTTCTTGCAGGGAAACTGCAAAGGACAAGTATAATCTGAAGAAGTTGGGGATTACCCACATCCTGAATGCAGCAGAGGGAACGTGGAACAACGTGGACACTGGAGCTGGTTACTACACTGGCATGGACATCGTCTACTATGGCGTCGTAGCAGAAGATATCACTACATTTGACCTCAGCCAGTATTTCTTCTCTGCTGCTCAGTTTATAGAAGCAACACTGAGCAATCCTCAGAGTAAGACAAACAAAACGTTCAACAGATATAAAACCATATTAAAGAAAAGAGACATGCTGCAACCCAACTAAGCGGTTATTTTCGAAGTCGAAAACAATGCAAATTTAAATTCAGACTAGTCGACTTTTATGTCAAAAAATGATGTCAAATTGGTTTGCAGAGTGTGGCTACTGTTAGCAATGCTAACACCTCCAGCCTTCTGTCCTCCTTGCAGGTTAACATCAACATGGCATCGCTAGGATCGACTTGACCTGACACAGCCTTCATGCCACTTTATGCCCATTTTCTAGATCACAATACTGCCAAACCTATCTGTGCTATCTGATGCCATTCTTCCATTGTGCTGGTTTACATCCAGTTAGTAGAGCATAATGGCAGTAGCCATTACTCAGAGCGACAGCCCCTGCTAGTGGCAGGTAGCTACATTACAGCGTAGACTCAAAATTACACCAGCACTGTGTTAAGTGTAAATAATTCTGGAGCCGGGAATCTCAAATGCTAGTGTAATATCGTACTGCTGTATTCCAGGTTAGCAAATCCTAGCAATGTAGGGATTCTGACAATAATTTCAAGGCTTTTTGATAGCTCTCCTTGGAGGAGTTAGAAAAGGCTGCTGGAGAGACTGACCTTCTACTACAACAAGCTACTACGCTTAAAACATGGATAACATATTTGAAAACTCTTCCGGTAAAAAATGAGTCACTACATGTTATGTTCATGTTCAACCACTTCTTAGCTAACCTTGACATGTATGCCTGTATGTTCTTGTTGTCTCACACTGTCAGGCAGATGTTACTTAGGAAGTGGTTGAATGCTAATGTTAACCTTTATCTAACAGTAGTTTAAGAGTTATTAAATTTGTTTTCTTGACTAAAAATGTTCCCTGATGTCCTTCAGTATTTTTCCAACCCTTTCTTTTTTTTTCATCAGTAAGCAGTGAAATCGTTATCAGTCCCCACCTTGACAAGTACATTTTCAAAGGACTGTATGTCGAAAGCATCACGACTAGGCTTTGTAACCTCCACAACCACCTCAGTGTGGAGGAGGTAGGGAATTTTGTTTTTTATTCTCCAAAGCCTTGAAAAAAATAAGTTCTGAAAACCTCATTTGAAATTTCAAACAACTTCTTTGTGTTGAGTTAATGAAAAAAAAGGTACAGGTAGTAGGTGCCGGGGTTTTGAGAGATTCAACCTTAAACTTCGGTCAACAACCACAAATGAGTTTTGAAATAGGAGCTCAGAGAAATGAAAGACATTTGAAAAGCTCAACATTCCTGTACTTTTGAGGCAAAATGTCCAGATTTCTAGTGTTTAACTACAGACAGCTCTGGACATTTTTATTAGATGTATTTTAACGTCAAGTCTGTGCGTTTTCAAATACTGTACAGGGAAATTTTCTCTGAGAGGAACTCATGAAATTTGATGGCAGAAATCTCAATCACAAATATCTTAAAACCAAAAAATTATGCAGGGTAGGATACCACTAACAGGGAAGTGGATACAAATATTTACATATTTGTATGACCTGACCCCTTAAGACGACCAAAAATAAGCTTATGAAACATATTTCTGAGTGTGTTTTTTATTTTATCTGCAGATAAACTGCTGGTGCACTGTGTCATGGGAAGAAGCCGTTCTGCCACACTTTTCCTTGCCTACCTCATGATCTGCAATAACATGACGGTGGTTGACGCCATCGAGCATGTGAAAAAACGCAGAAGGATCGTCCCCAACTGGGGCTTCCTGAAACAGTTGAGAGAGCTGGACATGCATCTGCTGGAAAAAAGGGAAGACTTTACAGAGAAGAGCTGATTTTAAGAGCTTGTCAGGAGAAGCCTCGGATTGAAGTTTGGTTTCAGTATGGTTTCAGAGACAAGTTTCATTCTAGGGCAACAAAGTCTAGTAATTTATACAAGTCTAAATAGGGTCAAACAGTAAAGCGAGTTAAAGTGGCGTCTCACTTCTATATGATTCAATTTGAAAGTCATTTTTGGCAAGCCCAAGTTCTGTCACAAGTCTTTTGGGACAAGTTCTTGTGTAAGTACCATTCCCATCTGACCTTTTCCAATACAAGTTGTACAATTCAAGATATTAGTCACTTTAGACAAGTCATATTTGAGTCACAGGTCAATTGAGAACAGTTTAGATCAGAAGACATTTGAGTCAAGTACAAACCAGTCACAAGTCATCCAAGTTTCTGTTAAGTATCAGAGAATATTTCAAACCAAATATCAAGGAATTGAGAATGGTCTAAATTCATCTCATGTCATTGAAGTTTCACAGTCATTTGAGATAAAACCAGTTTAGGTCTGAAGCACTTTGAGACAAGTCAAAGTCACACCTTTAGTCATTTGAGAAAATTTTAAGACAAACAAAAGTCATTTTATTTTAGACAAGTTCCTGTACAGTAAATTTAGGGACTCAAGCCATATAGGTCAGGTCCAAGTCAAGTATAAATGTATTATGAGGCCTGGTCAAGTCTCAAGTGCCTGGTCCATCACAGCAGGTTGTCAGCTAAATTTCACATCCTTGACAAGTCTGGAACAATGTCAGGAGAACATCAAGTCTCAAATCCTTAAGTACAAGTTTGAGTTGTATCACAAGTCTAAATATGCAGATTATGTCAATACTCAAGTGTTTGATTTTTCTGTAACATTTGATGTCGCGTTTGTGAAAAGTTTTGAATGACTGAGAGAAGTCCATGTTATACAAATGCCTAATAACAATAATAATCTAAATTTGTTTCGTGATTCAAGCCCCACCTTTCGTATTTGAGTTGGATTTTTCTGCCAAAAATGTAGAATGTTTTTGCCTTGTAAATTCTAGCTGAAGTTAAGAACTTTTTGAATATTTTGTTAATATGTAATATTGTGAGATGTTTCTAAAGAGGAAACCGATGTCCAGATTAACATGAACTCTGATCCTCATCCTGTGACATGCCTCAGGCTAGTAAGTATTTAAAATTAAAGGAGAACAATCATGAACATGGTCAATCATAATTTATTCTTATGCTAAAATGTACAGCATTTTTAAGTAACTGACAAAAGGAGAAAAGTCATAAATACAAGAATGTCATTCTGTCTGATTTTTGTGCACATAGCCAGGTATTTCCCCCCTGTTCTTACCAGCAACTCTGTACAGGTACAAAGGCTACAAAAGAGCAATATAAACAAAAACACAAGTACAAGTTGCGTTTTACATGCAATCCATTAGCTTAGTTTGGTCTATTCACAGGCTCTATTCTTCTACATTTCAGTAAAATATAAATCCAACATTTTATAAAGATAGAAAACAAATCTACAGATGGAATGAAAACGTAGCTTTAAAGGCATTATGTAAAATATCAACTTTGGACTAAATTTATATTTTCTTTATTGTTATTCGTCAATATAATCATTAGGTTCTTTTAAATTCTGCCACACTTCTGGACATTTTGAAATGTTTTAGAATTCAGGGTACAAACACTGAGATATGCTTTGTTATTTCGACAGAGATCAGTCTGCTTTATTCAACAGAAAGCTGCCTCAAGGAGATCTGTTACAAAAGACTTCAGAATTATACATACATAGCAATAAAACCTCTCAAATCGAACAGAAAACAGGACTAAGTTTACATTTTTTTACATTATTAGAATTAACAAAATATAGTTTCATCTTGCTCCCTTTCGAGGGAAACCTAATAAAGGCCAGATATCTTTAAAATGGCTTGCTATTAAGCACAACACTTGTACAGTACTACTCAATGCACTGTCACTAACAGAGACTGAAGCATGCTAGTTGTCACTTTACAAAATAAGTACAATAATTTAAATATACAAAGGCATGAGTATAGTACAAACTAATTGTCAGCACTGTTAGACAGGTACACTGAACAGGTTCAAACTGCCTCTAACTCCTCTTGTAGCAGGCACATTAAATGGCTTCATTTGAGGCTGCTACACGACTGATGAAATCTCTACCTCTGAGCTCTGAACCCGCCTGCTCTAAAGACACATCAGAGACACTAACACTAATTAAATAGATTTTCATCATATTGATGTAAGGCTTCCCATTTGGAGAAACAAAAATACTTTTTAACAATAGCTTCAAAGTTTACTCATTGATGAAAATTTTTGCATTCTTTCCAAGTGCTGCTGCTGGTTTTTAAGTAATAAACAATAATAAGAAGACACCCAAACAAAAAAAAGGCCAGATCAGTGCATCTTTAAACAGCAAAATGCACACGAGAAAAAAACAGCTCAGTCCTGCGGAGAGTTACCGCCTGATGAAAGGCCCTTTCAGGGACTGCTTGGACATGCCTGTGTTCATGTAACCATGGTGACCAGCTGGAGTGTAGTGTGCCACCATGTTGCCATGTGGTGGAGCCTGCATGGACTGCTGGGGGTATGGCTGTGTTCCCATCATGCCCATCTGCATAGAGTACTGGGCTGACTGGTTCATGTAGGCATGGTTGCCATGGTAGCCACTGTTCATCATGGGCTGGCTCATGCTGTAGCCGTTCATGGCGTTAAGGGAGGGCATGTTCATGGAGTTGACGTTGTAGGCTGGTGCCGGCATGATGTTCATGCTCATGTTCATGCGCGGCATGGTGGCCAGCGTCCTGGATGGCGCCTGCATGGACACAGTCTGCGGCGGTCGGGAGTACATCTGCTGCTGGTGGTGCGACAGCGGGGCAGACTTGGAGCGTGCTGAGATGTGACTCTTGGAGGCCATTTGGGGCTGAATCCTCTGCGATGGAGGGATGCCCATGTTACGCTGGAGCATCATCGGCGACGGGGAGCTGAGACTGGGGGGCTGGGTCATGGTGGCCTGCACCTGTGGGTTGGGGACTCGATGTGAAGTCTGGGACAGAGAGACCAGACTGGAGTGCTGAGATGACAGTGAGGGCGTGTTTGCATAAGATGTGATGGGGTGTGAGGCCGAGTGGTTGAAAGGCAGCGAGTGAGGGTGGTCGATGAACGTGTTGGTGAACTGCTGCAGTTTAGCCAGACTGAGGCCGGATGACTGCGAGTAGTGCCCGCTGCCATACTCCCCCTGGTGGTTGATCCTCTCGTAGAGGGCAAAGTTCGGGTTGCCAGATTCTGGGATGTCTGCCAGCTGCATGGTGGTGGTGAAGTTGGTGGGTATGGCACATTGCGCCATGGGCTGCTGCTGGCTATGCTGACTGTGTTGATTGTGAAGGCCGTGCTGAGCGTGCTGATTGTGCTGGCTGAGCTGATTGTGCTGCAGGTGGTGATTGTGGTGATGACTATGCTGGTTGTGAGGATTGTGTTGACTGTGCTGGCTTAGCTGATTGTGTGGACCGTGCTGATTGTGTTGGCTGTGCTGATTGTGAGGGCCATGCCTGCTGTGGGAGCTATGCTGACTGTGTTGAGAGTGTTGGCTGCGCTGGCTGTGTTGACTGTGCTGGCTGTTGCTTGGGGGCCTCTCCACCACCACGCAGCCCTGCGGCGACTTGACGTTGCAGTGTGGCGGCGAGCTCAGGCTGTTTGGCTGAATCATCCCGCAGCTGCCGGGGTTGACGGCGGCCATTTGCTGGCTCACAGCACAGCTGCTCTGGGCCAGGCCGCTGGGGGGGATGCTGCCATAGGAGCAGCTGTTCTGGGTGGGGCCTGCCCCACAGATGCTGCCCCCCAAGGTGGAGTCGTAGCTGCTGGGGTTCTCGTAGTTCTCGGTGGTGCTCTCGATACTCCCTAAATCGCTGAAGCCGCTGTCCACCACCTGCTGAGAGTGATCCGACACTGATGGCACGTCCATCATGGGGCTGGTCTCCATATTGTGGAGCGAGGGTACTGAAATGGCGCTATGGTCAGGGCTGATCTGAGTGTAGCCACTTTCCAGGATGGAGACAGCCGGGCTGTTGACAGAGCGTACTGACTGGCTGGGGTGGGACTGTGCAGAGGAAAGGGGGCTGCTGTGGTCTGACTGGGGGCAGTCATCCAGAGCCGTGAGCTGGGGGCTTTGGACCACATGGGTGTAGGTCTGCAGGCTCCTGCATGGCTCCTGGCTCTCCACACAATCTTGGAACACATTTTCCCGCTCTGTCTCCTGCGTCAGGGACTGAACAGCTTGTGCAGTCTCTGAGTCAATCTCTGCGCAGATCGGGGGATTCTCCCTCAGTACGGGACTGAGTGCCGGCCTGTCAGTGGGCAGAGGAGGTGGGGGATCTGGGTGAGGACTGGGCGTGCTCTCTTCCTCTGACTCGGAGTCTGCAGGGTTGTCAGAATCTACAGCTGCTACTGAAGCCACTGCTACTGCCTCAGGTTGTGGTGTTGCTACTGTGGTTTCTGCCACTGCTTCCTGGATGCTGTCTTCAGCAGTGGCTGGTTCCTCTTTACTACTCGGCACAGTAGAAACCTGCTGACTCAACTCAGAGTCGTTGTCTTCTTTTGATTCTAAAAAAGGTTGAGAGCATTCCGGTGTTTCTTTCAAACTCTCTTCCAAGTCTGCTTTGCCGCTCTCAGGTGCTGCAGTCTTGCTATGACTATCATCTTCGTCATCTGCGTCCTGATCTTCTATTTGTGTTCTCTGCTCGTCCTCCTCCTCATCTTCCTCGTTATCATTCTCCAGTGATTCAGCACCCTCTCTTATGTGCTCCACATCTTTGGCTGGCGAGTCCTGCCCATGTTCGCTCTCTTGTTGGTCATCCTCACGTGGATCTGGGGATTCTCCTCTCTCCTCACACATGGTGGGCGACACAGCAGCAGGAGATGCAGGCGAGCATACTGGAGAAGCCACTGGAGACCCTTCCGGTGAAGTTGACTTCTGGGAACCATTGTCAGCAGGACTGGAAGGCTCAGAGGGGAGCCTGTCTAGTGACATATCCGCAGCCCTGCTGACCTCATCTGCACTGACAATATCCTGGTCAGGTTCCTCTTTTGCTTCTTCAGTCTGAATGTGGTGCTGCTCAGCCTCCATCGGGGTCTCAGGGGGTGTGTAGAGGTTGAGCTTGAAGCCCATCTTTCGTTCATTCTTTAATCTCCATTTAGGAGGGCCACGTTTGACTCCCTTTGGCCAGCCTTTCTTCCTTTTCACTGGACGTGGTCTGTTGGGTCTCTTAGAGAGAAGGTCAGCTCCTAGAGATAAACACAAAAACAGAACAACATTTTTTGTAATGTTAACTGGAAACGTATAAAAACATTCATCAAACACTATCAAACATTCATTTGTTACAATGAAGTTGCAAATACCTTTCTTCCAGTGTTCAAGATTGTCTTTCTGTGCATTTTTCTCCAGCCTCGGGCGGCCTCTACGGCGTTTCATTGGTGTAATCGGTGTCTTGTCCTCCTGTTCCTCCTCCTCCTCCTCTTCATCCTCCATCTCGCCCACTCTGCAGGTTCGTTCCAGCAGGGGCATAGGGCGCTCATCCTCTGAGTTATCGAACGGCTCGTTCAGCACCTCTGTTGTCTCGGAGATGGTTTCTGTTGTAACACTGCTGTTGATTCTCTTTCTCTTACGCCCTCTCTTCTTGAGCACAATGGTTCTCTGAAATACAAATAAAAGAACAACCAAATGAAAACCTCCAGTAGAGTGGAGCACCTTTTGTAAAAGTCTGAAAACTAGGATACTAGTTGGATGACCTTTGCTGAAGTATTCTGCAGAAATTCATTCAGGCCTTTTGCGCTAAATGTAAAATGTTAGAACCACACTGCGAGACTAAATGGTTAAGCAATGCAGCCTGCTGTGGAAAACCACAAATGAGACAGGCAGAGAAAGCAGAAACCACAGTCTATATTTTACATACTCCAGTTGTTTCCCACCGGCTGCCTTACACTCAACCACTCTCCTCTCTGAAATCCTTCACAAGAGGAATGTGAAATCAATTCTGTAAC